CAAGTGTACCTATTCGTGCAAATCAAAATATCCTGGCAAATTGAATTCCTTGCACGCATTTGTGACAGCGCTAATGAAGTCTGCAAAACAGATCAGGTTTGAAGATTTAAAGATGTTGACAAAAGATTTGTTGAAAGTGAGTGAGAATAGATGACTGTTCCTTAGAAGATAAATGCTAGACCCAGTCTATAAATACATAAATCTGACGCGGATACATATAATCTATTCACATGTGATGATGTAAGCGAATAACTTCACGGCATATTTGCATAGGTAAACTAAAATACCAATATTTATTTATTGTCATATGTAAAATATTCAACACAGATAAATTCTAATTTATTTCTCAATAAATAATATTTGTAAAAATGTTATTGCATCATTGTAGGATTTATCATATCAAAATTATTATAGAAAAGTGACAAGCATATATAAGTTCAAAAGAATTCAAGACTTGTGTATAACTAAATTCATTCGACAAAATGTCGCCAAATACGATTCACAAATTCCACAATCATGAATAGATTTATAATATTGGCATGCAAACCAAAACAAACAGGTTTGAAAGAAGTTAGTTTTTTCTACACAAAAATAGTTTAAAACGTACGATGACGTTTTAGCGCACTAAACTATTGAAAAGCATGTTATTGGAGATGCTTGGTGGCTGACAACCATTGAACTATAATATAAACTGGAACACTAACTCCAACAGTAGTGCTATAAATCATCTGATGCACACTAAGACGCATTCATATCAGACTATTTTCGTTATTTAACCGAGCTCGTGAGGTAAAACGTATCATGGCAGTTTTTGCAACTGCATTTTATATAGATCTTTGTTCATTCTTTAAGATTATTTCATGGAAATTATATCTAAAAACTCAAGAAAACTTAAATTTCGGCTTCAAGGATTGCAACAACAAAGAGAGCACTCCAGATTCAAAAGACAGTTCAATGGTGTCAACCTCGTACCCATTGTCCTTTCTCCTGGACACGAGGTTCGTTTCCTACATCAGCCGTTAAATCGACATCTATTATAATTTTGAACATCCCTTGGGCAGCAATGTCGAGCTTTCGTAAAGCCGAATCATAATATATAAATACATTATCATTTCTAATAATTATCGACAAGTCGTGAGCGAGATTTGAGTCATTTGACCTAGTTAATGTACACGACACGACTAGGGTATGGACCTCATCAACCTCCGCCGTAAGAGGAGAAGTCTGCGGCCTCTTTAATCTCCATTGTAAGAGGAGAGGTCTGGGGCCTCGTCAATCTCCATTGTAAGAGTGAGTGTCTGGGGCCATGTTTTCAAGGGATCGAATAAGTCTAGCGATATGATCAGTATTTGTGATATTTGCATGACGAAGATGGTCGTGTGAAAGATAGGGTACAATACTCATATCATCGTATCCTTCTTCCAGAAAATTTTCTATGTACATTGGCAGTCCAAGTGACGTCAACCAGTCCACCACTGAACTAAGTTTTCCCACAACATCTGGAGCGAAGCAAAGACTGGAAATATCACATGGAACCTTACAGAAAAAATAAAAAACCGTTTCATTTGGCATGTCTACCTCTAGTGCGACGATTATTCTACTTTCTGGGCTACGACAAATGCAAAAAACCTTCAATGCGGGCAAAAATTTACATGTCTCGATTATAAATAAAATGCAAAGGCTAAATTGTACTCAGTCAGATTTTCACGTCTTATCTTAAGCACGAACAAAGACATAACAAGCATATGATCATCTAAATACATAATAATTGAAGTTTTCATCCTTCACACCGCCTTAATGGCTAACATCAAAACAAACCACATCAAACAAGGACTAAATAGATAATAATTGAAGTTTTCATCTTTTACACCGCCTTAATGGCTAACACCAAAACAAACCATATCAAACAAGGACGACGCGTAATAAAGAAGCTTTATAATGTCATGAAATATTTATGAAAACTCACCGCCTTTTTCTTAACATGATCTAATTTTTCCACCCTTATATGATCCATTTCCTTGGCAACTTCTCTCATCGTCGTCTTCAACTCGCGGGAATATCGATCAACCAGCGTCATGGGAACACCCCATTTACCATTCTGGTACAACAAAAACAACAAGAAAATATTAAAATGGCGGATGTTTGTGATTGGCAAAAACTTGACATTGTTTTAACTATTGAATACTATTTATACATGTATAATAATAGAGACCTACTGTAATGTCACCATTTCTATGATACTTCATGAAATCATAATGTGATGTCATTTATGCAATACTTCATGAAAAACTTATTCTACTAATCACAACCCTTTGGTCTTTGGTCCTAAACATTATACATTTGCGCCACTCTCACATCCAACCTTGCAGAATTTCTACGTATTACATCCGGGGAGGAATGCAAAGAACCTCCCGTTTTCTACATATCTAGTTAACTATTTAACATAAAGTAAATCATTGCTCGAAAATAATTAAGCCGTTAATCATTCTTTCCACAAGCATTTTTAAGGAAAATCATTAAACGTATGTGCAGTACTAGCGACTTTCACAACCAAAAATCCCACCTGATTTGTATAAGGATCTTGTAATAAATCAATTCCTTCTTCTTCAAGTTTCTTCTCGATCATTTCCAAAAGTTTAGTTCCACTCGGTTTATGGCGGGAAACCCTAGTCGCAGGCGATGGTTTTGGTGGCACCTTCCTTGCCTGCCGTGACGTCAAAACCTGTGACGTCACCTCGCCTTTAGTCCTCGTATCTTGTGTGGCATCTTCAATTAAATTGCCGTTGGCAACAGACAAAAGGGGGGCGTTTCTAGGTAAACTTTTAGATGTCATCGGCTTAGGAGGAAGTTTCGATGGTTTACTTGGGAGAGCCGGCTTGGGTGGTAAAACAGGTTTTCCTCCTTCATGTTGTTTGGTAATAATATCCGGTTTCCATTTCCTATCGATTTGCGGTGATTTCCCGGATCTACTCGAAATGTCCGGGGTCCGCAAACCCGATGGGATGTTTTTACCGATGTTAGCTCGTGGTGGCTTTTTCGATGGCGGAATGGGAGGCTGATTATTGACGTTTTCTTGTGAGTGAGAAAGACTACCCGAAGATGCGTTGTTTAAATCCGAGTTGGATATGGTACTGCGACGATTTTGCTCCTCATTCATTTTATTTGTTCTTTTTTCTCGGAAGCCGCACGTCGAACATCGTTCTTTGGAAATTTTGAAGACGCCGGTGAAAGACCATGATGAGAAACTGTGAAAGACGAGAGAATATAGGAAAATGTAAATCATAAAAAAAAACATATGTAACTCAGTAATTCAATATAAAAAACACAGTAATTCAATGAAAGTTTCTTCCTCGATAAAATATTTCGGGGAGTGTGAAGCGCACATATACCTTGAACGTTTGTATCAAATTCGACACTACCACTGGAACAAAGCTAAAACGGAATAAAAAATAGTCACGATGACACATTCACGAAGACATTCTTAGGTTAAAATTCATGCTAAGAAGTCGCCTTCATTTATTATAGAAAGAGTGGCCAAACGAGTAGCGAAGGTCTGAACGGAAGACATTAGAAAACATGAAAACTAAACCTACAGTTTCACTACTGTCAGTGTCCACTCTGTGTTTGCGAGATAGTCCTGGGGTTGAGTCTGGTGATGAGTCTGAGGCAGTCGAAGATGGGATATTGCTTGTGCTTTGAGAAATGTCCACATTAGAATCTGAAAAATTGTGATAAAAATTATGATAAATTGGTTTAATTTGACAAGACAAAGTAGCAAGATGTCGCGAAACACGTGATACTTCTACGCTCAACGACTTCCGTCGGCATCGCATGTGTAGGACAAGCTTGTTGACTGTCAATGGTGCGCTACAACATATTTACTTCCGGTCAATTTTCATGTTAAGCCTAGTTCACATATAGTTGTAATTATTGTAATACAGTCGGCGATGATGGTTTACAACAATTACAAATATATGTGAACGCCCGCTGTAATTGTTGTAATTTAATCGCAGACAAATCGGGAGCTGTTGAGAAAGATGAATTTAGTTAAATCTCTACAACAATTACAACAGTCGCCATCTTAATTTATACGTGAACGCTAATCGGCAATGGCAATTTCATTTTTTCTTTTCATTTCCTTTACGATAATACATCAAAATCCATTGACCAAACCTTGCCAATGAGAAAGCTTGTCACAAAAACCTAGCCCGGGCGTTTTTAATGAAATATAAGCGGTGAAAAGCCGCATGTAAATTTGACACTAGTTTGAAATAATCACCTGAGTTACAACTATTACAACTATATGTGAACTAGGCTTTAGACATGCTTGACAACTGCAATTGGCAACAAACATATTTACTTCCGGTTAATGTCTATGTTGGGTAAGCTTGATGACAGTCATTGGTGTAAAACAACGTATTTACTTCCGGTCAATGTCAACGCATGACAGACAAGCTTGATGATTAAAGTAAATGGTTTGAACCCGGGAGTATCGTTACATGTTTGTAAATGTAGGTCGTCCAGGTTGGTATAGTCTTGAGAAGGAGTGTTTTTGTTGTTGACTGACGTTTCGACAACCTTAGCGGTAGTCATCTTCAAGCTTGATGATTGTCATTGGTGTAAAACAACACATTAGTAGGTTATAGTTTGCGTTGTCAAAGACGCACCTGTGTAGAAAGTTGATGTGTTGCAAAGCTGAATAGTTGACAAACCTGTGTAGAAAGCTGATGTGTTGCAAAGTTGAACAGTTGACAAACCTGTGTAGAAAGTTGATGTGTTGCAAAGTTGAACAGTTGACAAACCTGTGTAGAAAGTTGATGTGTTGCAAAGTTGAACAGTTGTCGAATTGTATGCCTTCCCAGGGGGGAGCTTGTTAAATAGCGTAGTCTATTTGATAGGGGGGCTTCTTGGAAAAGGGCTTGTTAGAAATAGAGTCATATGAGATACCACGCTAAATAAAGAGTTTATAAATCCAATCTTACATAGCTACTCATACCTTCTCAATTGATCCCATGCTTCCTCCGATGTTATTTCCTTATTTTTTTATTCCTCATCAATTCCATCCTGTCATTTTCACACAATTGTATATCGTAAGCCATTATCTCTGAATTATGTCCGCTGGATCGACGCTTAAAGCTGCTTCGAATGAAAATACCACCACCTTTCTTCTTCTTTGAATCTTTCCTCTCAGCCCCCTGTAAATGGTAACCACATTCTAAGTTTGCTACAGTGAGGAAGTACCCCCCTGATTCGATTAAAACTATATACCAATTACGGCGTGTGAAAGTGTGTGATGCACCACTTATCTCGCGAGCACAATAACTAAGGTGTTAGAAAATACAGCGATTGCTTTACAACCGAAAGCTTAGTTAGCATTGATAATTGGTTGTGGTGAGGGGAAAGATATTCATGTATACATGTTTTTTAATCCGCAGAAAACAATTGATTTCAATGAAATGAACAAGACAGAACATGAATATTTGAATTTTGCACCCCCACCCCCACGCAACAACGAACACCAGGCCGGCTACGTCACTGTGTACAACAAGAGTTAAAATGTTTCTCAGCAGAGTTTATCAAAATTGTACTAAATACCCCTCAATTGTTGATGTGAATAGATCGTACACCAAAGTCAAGAAAGAAAACAAATTTATACTATGTCCTTGATTTTGGTTGATCTTTTAAACGAAAGCGAATATTTCGCATTGCACATTAAGTTGACAAGAGGTTTCAAAACGCGCGGCCATCCCGAGAGTTTTGCCTTGATATGAAATATTTAGAACATTAGCATTGTTTTTTACAGTGAATGAACATTAAAATATTTGCACAGCAGCTCTAAATAAACGGTCTTGCTACGTAACATATGCATGTGACATAAAATAAAACTTGTAAGAAAAGCGAGTGGACTTCATCCAGGATCCTTTCCTGCTAACAAACGACGTTTGATGCTTCGTTACAAATCTTTTTCATAACTAATTAAAGGCAGCAATCATACATGTTCTCCAAAAGTCATTGCTGTTAAATTGGCAACGAGGACTCTTCTAGATCTCTTTCTTTGCATGCATGCAATAAGCCATAGAGATATGCCAGGCTAACTTTTACTTTCTTTCAGTGTATATCGTGTGACTTTTATTGTTAGTCATTTTTGCTTTCAACAAAAATTTTATTCGGAATACTACAATATTTATCTATTTTAATGTTCTTCTTCATTACCCATGACCTTCCAAATTACTTAACTAAAAAAGATGCTATTCCGTGCAGATAATCCCAAAATCTTCTCACTCTCTGTAAGGCGTTCTTTGAAATCTTAAATAGGATTTAAAAAGACTGTGCTGCATTATGCAAACCGAGGATATCTTTGGATGAACTCAAAAGCAGATCAGTACAAGCCCTAGAATGAAAGTCGAGAGTTTGCACCTGCGCCCAGGGGCGGATCTAGAGTATGTCAAATCCGTCGCGCGACTGATGTTTGAAATTCAAAAATTACCTATTCATATTAATTAAAAATTCGTTAATTATTCTTACTTCATTATCGCATTTACTTCGTGATAAAAATCCAGCTTTATTTATTATTGAAAACTAATGACTAATCCAATGAATATCTCGTTGGTAACCAAATCAGTTGAATTTTAATTGACCTGGAATAACCGACTGATAAGCGGGGTGGCTTGACTGGTTCGACGGATAAAGGAGTCTATGAACGCCAAAAACGCTTAATTCATTGGTCAATAGCCAGATCAGTGGTCGATCTGGAATAATCTCGACCGATAAGCGGGGTGGCCGGACCTATAAGGGAGTCCACTTGCTATCTTACAATTGGTTCATTTGAATTTTTGTCTTACTGTGATTGGTTTGACCGATTTCGACTGATAGCCAACTGAACTAACATAGTCAAGCTCACTGTCTGAATTGAATGTTTGACCGTTTCATTGTAATTTTCTAAAGCATGATAGAAACTAAACTACAATCAGATGGAATTTATGGAAATATTTTACAAATTCATATATTGACATGAATGCTGCTGTCCAAACTGGGAATTTTTTCAAGAGGACGAAAAATTTATGGATGAATTGTAAATGCTTGGCAAAGACGATCTCGCGAGCGACATTTCAGTCATTGATGTTCAAAAGCAAGCCAACATTGTTTTGAGTTTTATCAGCAGAAATTTGTATCCAAAATCGTAAGTAAAGGACAACTGAAGTGTATGCATGAATGTAATATATCAAAGTCAATTTATGCGAGTGTGTGATGCGATTTATGTTAATATGGCGTATGGTAAGCAGATTGATGCTTCTAAAATTGTTGTTGACGAAGGACTTTTAGCTATAATTTCTTTAGTGCTTGGGGAATCGTGACCGTTATATGGCAGCGAAATCCTACATTCCTGCAAATATATTTCAATGGACAAAAAATCTGTAGCCATAAAGCGCCATAATATTATTTACTTTATCATAAACAAATGTTTGTGGCTTTTCAGTTTATGATCATTGATCATTCAATCATTGGACAGTTATACTACATATTGTTTAAGATTTGAGAAAACTAACATTGATTGCATGAGAAGCTGTTTACTATAACCTGTAATTTTGAGTCTTCTGATCCATGAAGCTTTATATTTTGACAATTTGACTGGAATGGTATTAAACCTTAGTATTTCACAATCATGAAATGTTGTCCCATGTCACATATTGTCCCCTTTTCTAACTGAACACCTCATGTAGAGATGTAAAGGTGTGTTAATCTATGGCTCATACCAGATTGTTTGCCATAAATTCCAAAGGGCTATTGATGTATGAAAAGCATTTTCTATTAAGTAAAAATGTCTTCCTATGTATGCAGATAAACCTTGAAATTTGGCAAAACAACAAAGTATTTTTCATGATCACTAGGTAATTTTTCTGATGATCATTATAATTTCTAAACTAAATTATTTCAGATTTACATTTAAACGAGCTTTGATCATATGAAAAGATATTTATCATAACCAGTAAGCATGACACATGAACCAATTTTAACATTCATGTAATTATATAATTAAAGACATGTTGGTTACATTCTGTTTGTATTTGATAATACAATGCCACTAGTGATTGCTATATAGCACACCTTGCAGAAGATAATTGTCAAGTGAAATGCCTAATAAACATTTATGGCATTTAGCTGTCCTTAACTGCAAATTTTCACTCTGATAATTTTTGCTTAATCTTTGGCAGAAAAATATTTTGAGTTTTTTCTCAAAAGGTGAATTTGCTGGCACTGATGTGGAGATGGGTAAAGGGTTACAATAAACTTGCATGGTTTGAAGTCTGAGCTTTTTTATATCTATGAACTGTCACTTGTAGTACCAAATTTCTAACTTAACTCATTACATAGAGTTTTGAATGGGGGTCTCTAGGGCGGTCTATGCCTGACAACTTGGTAGAAATTTTTAAAGACTATATCTGTTTTTGAATAGCATTATTGTAAAATAAATTTTACATTCCTAGACATGCTAATGAGCCATTTATTTGGCATGATAATGAGCATAAATATTTGGCAAAACATTCAAGTATTATTCACTTCATTTTTTTTTGAAAAAAACGTAAGCAAAAAATGTGTTGTTTTTACGCAAAAACGATGCCCACAAAATACATTTTTTATTGTTCTAAAACGCTGAAAATGGCATTTTTAAGGCTCTGAATATCAAAATTTCTCAGGGGTGAATGCCTCAGCCCCCCCCCAGGTGCGGAGCGCCTCCGACGTTTTATGACTGATGTTTGAAAAATCCTAGATCCGCCCCAGTCTGCGCCAGAGTTCTCGCAAACGTCTCCAGGATTTGTATAATTAAATCATGATAAAGACCATCTTTTATGTCCTCTACAAAATAATAATAATGCGAAACGAATAAATATAAAATAAATATTTGAATATTTCCTCTGACACGTATTGATTTGCAAATTCTCTTTGATTGCTTTTATTGATTGAGCACAGATCAGTTTGCACAGGCTGATGCAAATTCAGCTATTGACCTAGCAGTGCATGCGTTGTAATAAATCATTTTATAGTTTTGCGCTTTAGCTTTCAAATTCAGACGAACCATATTACGCGATCCACCGTTAAGCAGTCGAGGGACAAATATGAAGTAGATTCTCTCCAAATAATATCCATGTTATAGCTACTGAGCTACATACAATTTTTTAGTGACCTTTATTAGACTGTCATCTCTAGTAATAGATCGTGCTCACCTTATCCAAGTCCCCAAACATTCATTGTTTTGAAACTTTATAAAATGGTCGAGTGATATTATTGTGTGTATATACATTTTAGTCTCTGATTTTTCAAATAACCTGAGAAAAAATTCAAAGTTTCATTTGGTTTTTTATTGGCTTTTTTCTACATGCACGCATTAAATTGAATTGTTGCTAAATTCATAAATTTTATTACATGCCTTTTATCACATCTGTGATTTTCTACAACAGCTGTACGAAGCAATCAAGAGATACTAATATCATCGATTGAGGATGACTGCTTAGCACAGGATTGACTAAATTTATAATGATTTACATGATAATATGGTTCGCCTAGAAGCCAGAAAGCAAAACTCTTGCAAAAATTTCAACGGAAAATAAAGTCGATGAAAATTCTACATGTTATGCTTACGTGTCGTCAGAAAACAGGATTCAGCTTTTAAAATAGTCAATTTTCAGCAGCAACAATTTCAAAGAGGTAGCGGCTTTCTTTATACCATCCTTTGAAGTACGTCGACGTTAAAAATATGCATGATACAACATGATTACTCCTTGGTAATCAGTTGATACTTAAGGAAATAAACGCCATTTAAAAATATGCCAGTGGATTTGTGATGTGCAAAACAATGTCTTTACTAACCACTGAATTACAAGTATGTATTTATCTGTGTGAAAATACAAAATCCTAAAAAAGCAGGAACGGCGAAAGATCACTAATTGGGAGAGATAATATTCATATATGCTTGTTACACTTTATTTGTCTCTATTGAACTTATTTGTGTCTAGGGATTATAATTACGAATATATGAATATGAGCCCTCCCCACCACCTCCCAATTATCAATCAGGAAAAGTGAAAACTTTACAGAACATAGAAATTCGGCTACTGCTACATTGTTAATCTCAAGAATGAAAGCCCTTTCAATTGCGTTGACATTTACTTGTGAGATCAATTGTTGCTTTATATATCCATTATTTCGCCTTTATCTGGCTTTGTAGATTCTTGCCATTTGTTGCTTTGCGATATATGTCTCCCTATTGGTAAATGCTATATTTTGAAAAAGGCTCTTACAACTTACAAGACTTGCAATGTTCTTTGTTTAGAATTTACGTGTTGGCTTCAGAGGATCGAATATTCCAAGTATCAGCAGCACTTAATATAATTGCACCACAGCAAGAGAGTCTAAGCCTTGGCTCTAATTATACAATTAAAAGCAATTTTATGGTTGAATTTGCAATTTTCGATTGCTGAATTTGAAAGATTTTGCATTTTTTTGTACTCTTTTTGACTCCAAGCGCTCATAAAAAGTTTTATGTTGGGCAATTTATTTATACTTAGAATTCGCTTTCCGCCTGGCAAATCCATGGTCAGTTTTGTCACAATATTTTTATCTTACAAGTATGATTGCGACAATGCACCCTTTTCAGCTTTATCATCCTTCATGATTCGAGAGAGAGCTATAGATTCATAAAGTAAAGTTGTTTATATATTTATGGTTTTGTGTGTGTATATTTTGTGAAACCCCGTTATTGAAGATTATCTTTGTGTTTGTAGTGACTCCATCGATTTTGTGCATTTATATTTAGTTGTTGTAGTGGCTGTTGTATGTATTGTATTTTTTTATTACGGCAAACCATATATAATAGATTAAAATAAAATATAACTAAATTTTCTGGATACCGGCTAAAACATGCTCACAAGAAACAATTACGGAAGTAAACATGCACATATTGGGTAATATAGACACTACTGAAATTTTACTCATGGCACATTTTATTTAATATCTATGGCACACAAAATATCCTCAGTCTAATATATAATGATTAAATATTTTGCTTCATGGAATGCTTTCTACGTTCTCTTTTAAAAACTGTTTAATATTTACTGAAAACCTTTAAATTAACTGTACGCATATTTGGGAATCAATTCAACTTGGTCGAATTTTAAACTCATCTTATATGCTTCTTTCACAGTTAAGACGTCTCGCTACAGTGTGGCCTTCACTTAACTTGGCTTTGATTGCAGCTCTGAAAGTGCTAATAGCAGTTCAAAAATAGTTAAAATCGGTGAATAAGGCCTTCGTTTCTTAGAACAGCACAGAATACTATTTGGGCTTAGAGCGCTGCAATGAACGTTTCACATAGCTATAGTTCATCTATATGTATAGCCAATTTGTTCTAGAATTTAGTTTACCTTTCTCGGCTCAGTCTATTGGTTGTTTGAAGAGTTTGTCATGTCAAGCTTCTGCCATGTTGACCTCAAATATTATCTTGCTTGCTCTCCAACAGAGCATGGCTGCTCGGTTTCATCTATAAATTACATAAACATTATACTATAAAATATTCACCGATTGATTAATCGTACTTCCACAAACCAAGAGGAGTATAGTCAGAGCGTTGTTGTAGAGTGTCTTGAGGGACGGTTGCCACCAAGCACAGCTTTGCATTCGCCACTACTCGAACAAGGCATTCCAACTGTTAGATCGTTAGCCAACTTCAGCTAGTAGGCTTTGTCGGTTGAAGTCTCTCCTGATATTGCTTTGTTCATCATTTTCAGGCCTCGGAGGGGTTGGCAGTTAGAATTTCATGCAAGATTTTTAACACCAGCATTGCTTTGTTTCATCGTGAATTTTTGAACGAAACTTCTTTCTTTCGAAATGCAAATCAAACGAGACTGTTGATAAGAGAATTTGAATAATAACCACTTTTCATATTTAAATATTTACATATTCAAAATGCTCAATATGTCACAGCATGTCTATGCAGTGTTTATGTTCACAAACCTGACACGTTGCGTCACTTTCTTTCAATCTCCATAATCAACATGACATTTCTTGGTCAACAAGAACATTTAGTCAATGTCGTTGTCATAATTGTGGAATGATCTGGTTATCAAATCTTTCCATATACCAGTACTCAAACTTCTTTGGATGGACGTATCATGTCTTTGGAATATCTATCATACAACTATTTTATTTGTGCTTTCGTTTTTTGATAAACCCTTGACCCGACATAATAACTATAACTATTGCTGCCAGTTCAATCGATTGTCTTCATAGATACTAGTTAAAACAGACGAAACAAGAAAATTTGCACTCGGGTTTATTGTCTTTACATAAAGTTCAATGTAATCTTACTTTGTTCGTTATTTTTTATTAGTAAATGAATGTTTAAGAACCAACGCTTAAAGCAGGGACGTCGCTACCGGGGTGTATGGGAGATGCAACAATCCCCCAATCAAAAATTAAAACTAAAACCAGGTAAAAATCATATTCACAATACACCAATACCCTTGACAACGTATTCCACATCATCCAATTACATTAATCCACCGGCTAATCCAACTAGACCCTCTAAACGTCTACAAGCTAAAAAAAACTGTAAATAGATAACTTCCTCATTCTGATGAAGGCTCGAAGCAATGAGTCGAAAGCTCAAGAAAATAATTTATAAAATCTGGAGAAACTTTTTTAAATAATATAATGCCTGGATTACCAATCTTTAAACATATAGATATTTTAAGTATTATTTAAGATCTATGGAAAAAGGATAAATTAAATACTTCACATCTTGCCACGTAAATTTTTAATTATTATGAAAATTACTAAAGTAAAAATAGTCTCATTTGTATGGTGAACTTCAGCAACGTAGACGGTACAACACTTACTCCTGTTTTGTAAAACACTTTAATGTTCACCGACTGTAAAAACAATCAATTTCTAAAGAAATTATTATTTTTTATTCTTCAATTATTGACTAAAAGGTTGCAAGATTATTTGCATTCGCTAAAAGCCGAATATATTGAAGACAAATAAATGAGAAAAAACTGCGAGGCTTAAAGTGCACCTCAGTGACATTTACAGTATAGAAGATATCAAATAGTTGCTGACCTAAAAGTGAAAGTCAGTTTTACAAGAAGTTGAACGAAAACTATCAAATCTCTTTGAAATTCTGGAATACAAATACTTCCAATTCAACCATTATATTACTTTCAATTATATTTAGAGACAAGATTGAAAATAAGCTCTTTCTAGACTTAGACATTCCAGATTTTCCTAGCAAAAAATGCCAAGAACATTTCTTTGAAAGACCGATAAATATAGAAACTTTTCTCCATCAGATGAATGTGATCTAACATGCAGGATGCAATGGTTTTATTTGGACAACATGTTAATGTGTCAAGCAGCTAATTCTAATTATCATTAATTGATTGAGACCCAGGAAAACAGTGTGTTTTAAGTCTCGGGTACTCTGTGTCCCGAGATTTCATTCAATCGTGTTTTATTGTATACCAATTTTCAAAGAAAAAACTGACAACCTTGTTAAAGAACGCAAATATTGACTCTCCCAAAGATATATATAACAATTTAATCTGCACTGTTATGGACCGACATTTAAATGTTGGGATAATTTCTTTTGTTTATGTAATCGTTGTCGGCGACAAAACATCACAATCATCAAGTAAACCAGCTGCTTTTCCTTCATTTCAGCGACAACTGTCCAATCTCCTCTTTGAGCTACCGGTTCTCTTCTGCATTCTTCACTTTTCGTTGTCAACATACAGGGTGCAAAGTACTGCATGGGGAATAGTTGAATAGTATTCAAAGCTTTGATTTTTGGTTTATTTTTTCGTGAATAGCGGGTGACCTTGTCAATATTGATTTTATTCCTTTAAAATCTTTCACTTTCTCTCTCAATTCATTAAATTGTACAATTGGCACTCATGCTCAGTTTGCAGCGTGCAAGAACGTTTATCTTTAGTTGTTGCTTGCTTTAGCCTTTCCATCATTTATTAAATTAAGAATTGAAAACAAAATCAAGAAGTATTCTTAAAAACTGTTCACATTACAAATGTATATATTTTTTTCATGTCAATAACTCACAGAAAAGGAATATGTAACTGTCACAAGCTTTATAAACAACGAAAGAAAGAAATTTTTGTACGACGTGTAAGTGTCGAAAAGCAATCAACCATTTCCTGCCAACCTTTTTGGTAAAAAAGAAATCTGGTAATAGATCGTTGTTCTTCATTCATCACAAAATGTTTGTGAATTTCTTGTAAAAACTAGGCCTCTAAGGCAACAAAAATTGACCAAATCATTTCTTCATCGTGATTATTCAATACTCACTGCTATAAAGAGAAGTCTTCAGACAGCGCATGCCTAAAGGCAGAATTGTAAATTCATAAACAATGCAAAATTATTACTTAGATTTTTCTTCAATTCCCTGTTTTCTTGTGAAGTTGTTGTTGACGACCATGGCTCCTTGCACACATGAAGAAAATGTTTTTAAGAAAGAATGATTTCAAAAAGATAATTTCAGTGTTCGCGTGAAAGAATTGTTGCTGGGAATTCGCTGGTGACGTAATTGAATCTATTATTGACTGAGATCCCTCCCCTTGCTTTTACAAAGATAAAAATTGCTCAGTGGGACGTTTGAGAGGTTTACCCGACGACGTCAGAGTATGAACACTTAGAGTTTTAATCATTACTTAATATATCTAGTTAAAATATTTGCTTTAGTTATGAATGAAAAATCAAGAAACTGCAATTCCTTTGAATTATAGATGCTCATTTGGAATCAATTGCTGAGTGCAGCCTTCCCGTTTTGCGCGATAGTCGCTATGGGAACATATTGCAATTTGTTATAATTAGATTGTTAAAAACGATCTATCAAGTAAAACATGTCAAAATTTCGTGTTCCTTCAGCAAGTCTTTCAATTTATTACAAAAACAACTAGAAATCTACATAATACGGATAGTTATAAAGCACAAGACTCTAGATGCTGGCATCAGAAAGTGTAAATGTTTCTTACAAGAAGGTTAAGAAGAAGAAAATAAAATGAAGTTGGTTATTTTGTGTGCACTTTTGGCCGTAATGGTTGTCTTGCCACAATCAGGTATATATTTTACAGTCATGCTACATTTTTGTTATTTTTTAGTGTTTTAAAAGAAAGTAAAGTAACAATCCTTCTCTTTGTATATCATATTGATTTCGTGAAGCCTACAGTGATGAAAGTGAAGAGATTCGTATCTCCGACCCTGAATTCAATCTAAGTTTCAATGAAACGAAAGAATATTTGAAAAAGGCAGATTTGGAAAGTGTTGGTTTTAAAAGAACGGAAGAAACAATCACAGAAACAGATGACAACGGGAACATCGTACGATCGAAGAGCATAAATTACCAAGTTACTGACGACTGTACAAAGGTGAAGTATTGGGAAGGAATTTTGGCACAACGCCTGGGCAAAGGTTGGAAGAAACGTTCATTGAAGATGGTGAGGGAGGTAAAAACTCGTATCGCTGGCAAAAAGACAAAACAGTGTGAATTTGGTGTGGAATTTCAATTGAAAGATGACTCTCAGAAGAGTGGGGAAAACGATGCAAAACGTGGTTGGCGTGTCCGTGTTCGAGTTCGTTTCAGAGTTGGACTTCGTGTACGGATTCGATTTCGTTATCGTAGGAGACTCTGGGGCTAGCTGGATGCTTATTCCTTATTCAAGAAGTGACAATAACAATGTAGCTATGTATGTCGTTGACAATTCTTTTTACTGTAATAGCGTAAGTCTGTAGAAAATAAAACGAAATTCTGTTTTTGTCACTGAAATTTTTTTCTACTGATACAAATTTAATCAATTCGTGTCTTAATTAACTTTGCTAACATGGTCTTTTTGTCAGGGGGGTTCATAGTTTCCTAGGATTGTTTTTCCCAGGGTTGTATTTCCTAGGGTTGTTTTTCTCAGGGTTGTTTCTTCTAGGGTAAACACGTTACATCTTCAACTTACGCTGGTATTCACGAGGATCGTATGGAACAAAAATTTTCAACAAAGTTAAAAAGTACATAATAGCTATTTGCGAATTACTACCTACATATGAAAATACTATCATAGAAGATGGAATGGTGTATTTGTAAATTTAAGGTTAAGCCTTTTTCAGATATGTAATATTCCTTTTAAGATATATATATAAGTTTGAAAATTGGTAATCCAAGCATGGAGACGCTCTAAACGTCTCCATGCTTTTAGCTTGAAAACGTTTAGAGCGTCTAATTGGATTAGTGTGTGGATTAATGTGATTGGATGGGGTGAAATGCGTTTTGCATTTGTGTAGGCACGTGCAAATAAATAAGATCCTCATTCTGATGAAGGCTCAAAGCAACGAATCGAAAGCTCAATAAAAATCATTTAAAATCCGGAGAAACTTTTATCTTATATATATATATATATACAACCGTACGTTCTGTGTCCCAAGTGCAGGAGTCATCATTTTACTATGGTGACTGCCGGGAGGGCGCATTGTAAACTTCTTACTATACTAAAATATTGATGAGAAAACAGCATTTAAAGTTTACATAACCTATATTTATACCTCAGCCTAAAATTGCCAGCTTCATAAGTAACTCCTTCCATGTTTAGCATTGTTAATATAATTTTTAATGTTTTTGTGTTTTCTTTGCTTCTTCAATCTCTGAGCTCTTCTTTACAACATCGATGCACATTGTGAGCTTTACGGAAACATTCAAACACTTCCTATATCTTAACATATATATATCCTTATCATTAAATTTAAGTATAGCCAAGTATGTAAAGAGCAACAGTCTCTTGTTCAACATATGTGGTCTTCGGACATCTTTTATCATGGCCTTTTGCCATGTACCATCCAAAGATATTCCACATTCTGGTGCTCCATTCTCCTCTTTAACATGCATAATATTGCTGAGCATGTTGTCACAATTGTTGAACAACTGGTAATAGCTTTTCATTTTGGATCACTGTAAAGCTTCAGCAAGTTTTTGTGGAGCCATATTCATGACCTTGTTGAATGTGACCATTGCAGCTTTCCCTCAACCAATTTCTCGAAATGCTAGGACTGCTCGGATTAACTTCGTGTAAACAGCCTTGCTTTTACATGTGTTGAAACTATACTTCACTCACATTCTTCATTCTTACATTGAAGAACAATATAATGCATAGCCTTTCCTTTTCCTCAAGTCAACATGGGATTCCACACTGCTTTCGCAATCAGGGCTTTTAAAATTTCATGAAAACAGCAAAGACAAGTCCATAAACACGGTGCCTTCTTTGCAATAGATTATTAAAGCTTCGCCAATGCTCCTCGTTTGATGACTTATTTTCTTTCCAGAAGGTCCAGGGTTTGCGTCATCGTTTCCGCCATGTTTTGACTTCTTTGCCATTTTGATGGCGGAGTTCTAACAGCTTTCTGTTCTATCTCGACTATTCCTCATTATTTTTCACTCTGAATTATCGGAATAACAAAAGAAAGGTCCGAAATACTACCAAAAGACTTTTCGCCTTAGAGATACAAAATATAACTTTTGAAGAGCAACTTTTCGAACAATGCTGCCTGATCATCTCTGATTTGAAATTCTCAGAGTTACCATGGTGCCAAATTGCAACCAATCACAATGTAACTTAACGAGAAGGCTTTGAATAACATCCACCAAAGTAGAAACAAAAATTCGCTTTAGAAGGAGTTTTAGGGTGAAATGAAAATCGTGCTAGGCGTTGCTATAAAAAAACTATAAGAAGACAACTTGAAAGCATTTTCGTGGTAAATGATAGTTTTAACGAAAAATTAGAATATTCATAAAACCACAGCATAAAGTACCGATAATGATCAGCGCTAATGAGTTTTAGAAAAAATAGATCAAGGTTTGAAGATTTAAAGATGTTGACAAAAGATTTGTTGAAAGTGAGTGAGAATAGATGACTGTTCCTCAGAAGATAAATGCTAGACCCAGTCTATAAATACATAAATCTGACGCGGATACATATAATCTATTCACATGTGATGATGTAAGCGAATAACTTCACGGCATATTTGCATACGTAAACTAAAATACCAATATTTATTTATTGTCATATGTAAAATATTCAACACAGATAAATTCTAATTTATTTCTCAATAAATAATATATGTAAAAATGTTATTGCATCATTGTAGGATTTATCATATCGAAATTATTATAGAAAAGTGACAAGTATATAAGTTCAAAAGAATTCAAGACTTGTGTATAACTAAATTCATTCGACAAAATGTCGCCAAATACGATTCACAAATTCCACAATCATGAATAGATTTATAATATTGGCATGCAAACCAAAACAAACAGGTTTGAAAGAAGTTAGTTTTTCTACACAAAAATAGTTTAAAACGTACGATGACGTTTTAGCGCACTAAACTATTGAAAAGCATGTTATTGGAGATGCTTGGTGGCTGACAACCATTGAACTATAATATAAACTGGAACACTAACTCCAACAGTAGTGCTATAAATCATCTGATGCACACTAAGACGCATTCATATCAGAATATTTTCGTTATTTAACCGAGCTCGTGAGGTAAAACGTATCATGGCAGTTTTTGCAACTGCATTTTATATAAATCTTTGTTCATTCTTTAAGATTATTTCATGGAAATTATATCTAAAAACTCAAGAAAACTTAAATTTCGGCTTCAAGGATTGCAACAACAAAGAGAGCACTCCAGATTCAAAAGACAGTTCAATGGTGTCAACCTCGTACCCATTGTCCTTTCTCCTGGACACGAGGTTCGTTTCCTACATCAGCCGTTAAATCGACATCTATTATAATTTTGAACATCCCTTGGGCAGCAATGTCGAGCTTTCGTAAAGCCGAATCATAATATATAAATACATTATCATTTCTAATAATTATCGACAAGTCGTGAGCGAGATTTGAGTCATTTGACCTAGTTAATGTACACGACACGACAAGGGTATGGGCCTCATCAACTTCCGTCGTAAGAGGAGAAGTCTGCGGCCTCTTTAATCTCCATTGTAAGAGGAGAGGTCTGGGGCCTCGTCAATCTCCATTGTAAGAGTGAGGGTCTGGGGCCATGTTTTCAAGGGATCGAATAAGTCTAGCGATATGATCAGTATTTGTGATATTTGCATGACGAAGATGGTCGTGTGAAAGATAGGGTACAATACTCATATCATCGTATCCTTCTTCCAGAAAATTTTCTATGTACATTGGCAGTCCAAGTGACGTCAACCAGTCCACCACTGAACTAAGTTTTCCCACAACATCTGGAGCGAAGCGAAGACTGGAAATATCACATGGAACCTTACAGAAAAAATAAAAAACCGTTTCATTTGGCATGTCTACCTCTAGTGCGACGATTATTCTACTTTCTGGGCTACGACAAATACAAAAAAACTTCAATGCGGGCAAAAATTTACATGTCTCGATTATAAATAAAATGCAAAGGCTAAATTGTACTCAGTCAGATTTTCACGTCTTATCTTAAGCACGAACAAAGACATAACAAGCATATGATCATCTAAATACATAATAATTGAAGTTTTCATCCTTCACACCGCCTTAATGGCTAACATCAAAACAAACCACATCAAACAAGGACTAAATAGATAATAATTGAAGTTTTCATCTTTTACACCGCCTTAATGGCTAACACCAAAACAAACCACATCAAACAAGGACTAAATAGATAATAATTGAAGTTTTCATCTTTTACACCGCCTTAATGGTTAACTCCAAAACAAACAACATCAAACAAGGACTAAATAGATAATAATTGAAGTTTTCATCTTTTACACCGCCTTAATGGCTAACACAAAACAAACCATATCAAACAAGGACTAAATAGATAATAATTGAAGTTTTCATCTTTTACACCGCCTTAATGGCTAACACCAAAACAAACCACATCAAACAAGGACTAAATAGATAATAATTGAAGTTTTCATCTTTTACACCGCCTTAATGGCTAACACAAAACAAACCACATCAAACAAGGACTAAATAGATAATAATTGAAGTTTTCATCTTTACACCGCCTTAATGGCTAACACCAAAACAAACCACATCAAACAAGGACTAAATAGATAATAATTGAAGTTTTCATCTTTTACACCGCCTTAATGGCTAACACCAAAACAAACCACATCAAACAAGGACTAAATAGATAATAATTGAAGTTTTCATCTTTTACACCGCCTTAATGGCTAACATCAAAACAAACCACATCAAACAAGGACTAAATAGATAATAATTGAAGTTTTCATCTTTTACACCGCCTTAATGGCTAACATCAAAACAAACCACATCAAACAAGGACTAAATAGATAATAATTGAAGTTTTCATCTTTTACACCGCCTTAATGGCTAACACCAAAACAAACCACATCAAACAAGGACTAAATAGATAATAATTGAAGTTTTCATCTTTTACACCGCCTTAATGGTTAACACCAAAACAAACCATATCAAACAAGGACGACGCGTAATAAAGAAGCTTTATAATGTCATGAAATATTTATGAAAACTCACCGCCTTTTTCTTAACATGATCTAATTTTTCCACCCTTATATGATCCATTTCCTTGGCAACTTCTCTCATCGTCGTCTTCAACTCGCGGGAATATCGATCAACCAGCGTCATGGGAACACCCCATTTACCATTCTGGTACAACAAAAACAACAAGAAAATATTAAAATGGCGGATGTTTGTGATTGGCAAAAACTTGACATTGTTTTAACTATTGAATACTATTTATACATGTATAATAATAAAGACCTACTGTAATGTCACCATTTCTATGATACTTCATGAAATCATAATGTGATGTCATTTATGCAATACTTCATGAAAAACTTATTCTACTAATCACAACCATTTAGTCTTTGGTCCTAAACATTATACATTTGCGCCACTCTCACATCCAACCTTGCAGGATTTCTACGTATTACATCCGGGGAGGAATGCAAAGAACCTCCCGTTTTCCACATATCTAGTTAACTATTTAACATAAACAGGTTATAAATTAAATCATTGCTCGAAAATAATTTAGTCGTTAATCATTCTTTCCATTAGCATTTTTAAGGAAAATCATTAAACGTATGTGCAGTACTAACGACTTTCACAACCAAAATCCCACCTGATTTGTATAAGGATCTTGTAATAAATCAACTCCTTCTTCTTCAAGTTTCTTCTCGATCATTTCCAAAAGTTTAGTTCCACTTGGTTTGTGGCGGGAAACCCTAGTCGCAGGCGATGGTTTTGGTGGCACCTTCCTTGCCTGCCGTGACGTCAAAACCTGTGACGTCACCTCGCCTTTAGTCCTCGTATCTTGTGTGGCATCTTCAATTAAATTGCCGTTGGCAACAGACAAGAGGGGGGCGTTTCTAGGTAAACTTTTAGATGTCATCGGCTTAGGAGGAAGTTTCGATGGTTTACTTGGGAGAGCCGGCTTGGGTGGTAAAACAGGTTTTCCTCCTTCATGTTGTTTGGTAATAATATCCGGTTTCGATTTCCTATCGATTTGCGGTGATTTCCCGGCACTAGCCGAAATGTCCGGGGTCCGCAAACTCGATGGGATGTTTTTACCGATGTTAGCTCGTGGTGGCTTTTTCGATGGCGGAATGGGAGGCTGATTATTGACGTTTTCTTGTGAGTGAGAAAGACTACCCGAAGATGCGTTGTTTAAATCCGAGTTGGATATGGTACTGCGACGATTTTGCTCCTCATTCATCTTATTTGTTCTTTTTTTCTCGGAAGCCGCTCGTCGAACATCGTTCTCTGGAAATTTTGAAGACGCCGGTGAAAGACCATGATGAGAAACTGTGAAAGACGAGAAAATATAGGAAAATGTAAATCATAAAAAAAACATATGTAACTCAGTAATTCAATATAAAAAACACAGTAATTCAATGAAGGTTTCTTCCTTGATAAAAAATTCCGTGGGGGGGGGGGAGTGTGAAGCGCACATATACCTTGAACGTTTGTATCAAATTCGACACTACCACTGGAACAAAGCTAAAACGGAACAAAAAATAGTCACGATTACACATTCACGAAGGCATTCTTAGGTTAAAATTCATGCTAAGAAGTCGCCTTCATTTATTATAGAAAGAGTGTCCAAACGAGTAGCGAAGGTCTGAACGGAAGATATTAGAAAACATGAAAACTAAACCTACAGTTTCACTACTGTCAGTGTCCACTCTGTGTTTGCGAGATAGTCCTGGGGTTGAATCTGGTGATGAGTCCGAGGCAGTCGAAGATGGGATATTGCTTGTGCTTTGAGAAATGTCCACATTAGAATCTGAAAAATTGTGATAAAAATTATGATAAATTGGTTTCATTTGACAAGACAAAGTAGCAAGATGTCGCAAAACACGTGATACTCCTACACTCAACGACTTCCGTCGGCATCGCATGTGTAGGACAAGCTTGTTCAATGTCAATGGCGTGCTACAACATATTTACTTCCGGTCAATTTTCATGTTAAGCCTAGTTCACATATAATTGTAATTATTGTAATACTGTCGGCGATGATGGTTTACAACAATTACAACTATATGTGAACGCCCGTTGTAATTGTTGCAATTTAATCGCAGACAAATCGGGAGCTTTTGTAGAAGTTGAATCCTGTTCAATCTCTAAAACAATTACAACAGTCGCCGACTTAAGAAATTTATACGTGAACGCTAATCGGCAATGGCAATTTCATTTTTTCTTTTCATTTCTTTTACGATAAATCATCAAAATCCCTCGACCAAACCTTGCCAATGAGAAAGCTTGTCACAAAAATTAACATATTTTACACACGTATTCTATCAAATATAAGCGATGAAAAGCCGCATGTAAATTTGACCCTAGTTTGAAAAAATCGCCTGAATTACAACTATATGTGAACTAGGCTTTAGACATGCTTGACAACTGCAATTGGCAACAAATATATTTACTTCCGGTTAATGTCTATGCAGGGTAAGCTTGATGACAGTCATTGGTGTAAAACAACGTATTTACTTCCGGTCAATGTCAACGCATGACAGACAAGCTTGATGATTGTCATTGGTGTAAAACAACACATTAGTAGGTTATAGTTTGTGCTGTCAAAGACGAACCTGTGTAGAAAGTTGATGTGTTGCAAAGTTGAACAGTTGACGCTGATATTCTTGAATCTTTTGTCTTTGGTGATTTTGATCCTTTCGTTGAACCTTTTGATTTGACTTTATTGTCCCGTTTGTTGCCAAATCTACACAATATAACGACAATTCCTTACGATTTATACAGATAAGGAATTGGATGAATGATCCCAACTGATTCGATGTCAGCGTTAAGGTCGACAGAGATCCAATATTATCCCGAATTATCCACATATTATCAAAGACGACCAAAAGAAAACAGAAATTATTTTACAGTAATGTTGAGCAATTCTTGATGAATGCTTTTCAAGAAAATGCGATCATTATTTTTTGTTTTCTCTCAATGAGCCATTGATCACATGAAGATAGAACCACAACATATATTTGTACAGAGCAACAACTTAACGCTTGGAAATTAAAATCGGAAACAAACAATCAAAAAATTTCCATGATTACAGACATTCCATCGCTTTTTAGATCACTGGTGTAGACTTAATAGAGAGGGGAGCCTACCATATTTTCTGTCTTCTCAATAGAAGTCTTGTTGGAGAGATGGGTTTTTTAAGAGGGGAGCCTATTAGAGAAGTGACTTATCTGAGAGAGGAGCTTGACTAGACAGGGAAGCTTGATAGAGAGGGAAGCTTGTTAAGAGAGAATCTTGTTAGAGAGAGGGAACCTTGTTAAAAAGAGAAGCTTATTAGAGAGAGCTTACTAAAGAAGGCGAGCTTGATATACGAATTGTATGCGTTCCCAGGGGGGAGCTTGTTAAATAGAGTAGTCTATTTGATAGGGGAGGCTTCTTAGAAAAGGGGCTTGTTAGAAATAGAGTCATATGAGATACCACGCCAAATAAAGAGTTTATAAATCTAATCTTACATAGCTACTCGTACCTTCTCAATTGATCCCATGCTTCCTCCGATGTTATTTCCTTGTTTTTTATTTTCCTCATCAATTCCATCCTGTCCTTTTCACACAATTGTATATCGGAAGCCATTATCTCTGAATTATGTCCGCTGGATCGACGCTTAAAGCTGCTTCGACTGAAAATACCACCACCTTTCTTCTTCTTTGAATCTTTTCTCTCAGCCCCCTGTAAATGGTAACCACGTTCTAAGTTTTCTACAGTGAGGAAGTACCCCCCTGATTCGATTAAAACTATATACCAATTACGGGGTGTGAAAGTGTGAGATGCACCACTTATCTCGCGAGCACAATAACTAAGGTGTTAGAAAATACAGCGATTCCTTTACGACCGAAAGCTTAGCTAGCATTGATAATTGGTTGTGGTGAGGGGAAAGATATTCATGTATACATGTTTTTTAATCCGCAGAAAACAATTGATTTCAATGAAATGAACAAGTCAGAACATGAATATTTGAATTTTGCACCCCTCCCCCACGCAACAACGAATACCAAGCCGGCTACGTCACTGTATACAACAAGCTAAGAGTTAAAATGTTTCTCAGCAGAGTTTATCTAAATTGCACTAAATACCCCTCAATTGTTGATGTGAATAGATCGTACACCAAAGTCAAGGAAGAAAACAAATTTATGTTATGTCCTTGATTTTGGTTGATCTTTTAAACGAAAGCGAATATTTCGCATTGCAAACAAAGTCAACAGGAGGTTTCTGAGTACACAGATTTATATGTTTGTAAATGTAGACCATACCAACCTGGACGATCTACATTTACAAACATGTAACGATACTCCTGGGTTCAAACCATTTACTTTAACACAGATTTATGTTACATCTTTGATTTTGGTTGATCTTTTAAACGAAAGCGAATATTTCGCATTGCACATAAAGTTGAAAAAAGGTATCTGATAGCGCGGCCATCCCGAGAGTTTTGCTTTGACATGAAATATTTAGAACATTAGCATTGTTTTTTTACAATGAATGAACATTGAAATATTTGCACAGCAGCTCTAAATAAACGGTCTTGCTACGTAACTGATCCCTACCTCTGTAACAATACAATTACCAAATGCACCTTCCCGACAGTGGACACACGTGTCAAAAATTCGAGGACAAATTACAAAATTCGGACAATCAAATGGTCGGGCATAGTATTGCTTGAGTAAAATAGTGGCAATAAAATAGAAAGAAGATGCTCTTGGGGAATTTGTAAATCTTATTTTAGAAACACAGAACGTCTAATTATAAAGGTAGAAGGTGTAAAATTAAATAAAAACCATTTTCCGTCAAATCAAAGGAAAGCTTGGATATGATATGCAGCATGCAACTAGAAAGTTATAGAGAAAAACAAAAACATTTCTAACATTGACACAGATATTACGAGTGGCGTAACAAAGTGTTGATGAGTTTGATATGCATTTGTTAAAACAAGCTTTAGAAGACAAAGAGCATGCCAAAAATAAATGATTGAAAACTTGCTCTGCGCATCTACAAGTGCCAATTTCAAATTACTTCAAAATTAATCTGAGCATGCACAGTCAACTCCACCAACTCTCCAAGTTCATGGTCATGGCAACGAGCAACTGGATGTACTAGAACCACTTATGGAGTAATTAGCTCGCTCAGTAACAAATTTTAAGATAAATCATCTGGGCATGCGCAGTTTGCTTGAGCATGCGCAGTCCACTTGACCAGCTGCCCAAGTTTATGGTCATGGCAACGACCAACTGCATTTACTAGCACCAATTTTGAAGTAAATAGCATACTTAGTAACAATTTAGTAGAGAAATCATCTGCGCATGCTCGTGAGTATGAGCAGTCCACTCGATTAATTGTTCATAGTCATGGCAACGACCAACTGTAGATACTTGCACTACTTTTGGGTTAAACTGCTCACTTGGTCGCAAATTATTAAAGAAACCATCTGGGCATGCGCAGTAGCCTGATGGGCGGAAGCCTGCTATTGGCATCTCCCAAGTAGGATAGCGTGGAGGGGCCGAAATCTCCTACCGAAACATTAACATGCGGCGTTCTAGTGCCTTGCGCTTAATAAGGTATCGGGAAGCATGGACCAAAAACGTGTTTTTTTTTTGTTTTTGAATTTTATCTTTTCTAATCTTGCAGTGGTTCGAACAACTGGTTCGATACTGCAATGGTTCGAACAACTTCTGCCTTTTTGACTTATAATTTAAACCAACTCCAAACATGTTTATACGTTTTTTACTTGTTACCTTTCACATTGTAACTTTCTCATAACTATCTCGTGATGAACTACAGCCTTCTTATACAATACTACTCTCTCATCAAGGACGAAAGCATCCAAAGGATTCGTGAAGAAAAGGGTTTATCTACTTTTTTATAATCGTTTTTACGAAGATAACATTTAATAAGCGAAGCCATTCGCACCGTCTAAATTGAACCGTTATGTCATAAAATTTTAATTTCATTTTGGATAGTAAATTTCTTTTTAAACTTCACTTCTCGAGTAATTTTGCGATTAAAAATTGCACTTTTCAGATTCGGAGGACATCTTTTGATTAAATAGAGACAGCCGTCTAATTTATTACGTACGTGCATGTAATATGCATTTCATTAAAAGAAACCACCTTACCAAAGAATATACAGACCCGATTTTTTAGCTACATCTAAGTCAGGTCGTAAAGCCCGTAACAATCCTTAAAAAAGTCGTTTGCGAGACAACACGCCAGTATTCAAGCTTCCATTTGATCATTTCTTAATCTGATCTCGTGTTTTTAACACGTGTGTCTATCGTCGAAAAGGTGCATTGTACTTGTGTTTCGAGGATTAGCAAGTCTAAATTTTGAACAACTTAAGTGATATTTTTCGGAAAGCACTGGGTTGTTTTGCCATAGCGTATTCTTCCTACACATGTTCTCAATATAAGGGTTAATAATTTTAGTCAAAAGTGGCGGGAAGTCAGAAAAGACTAACAATGGCAAATTGCTGTCAGTTCATACTTGGACTTATTGGGATTTGACCTACCTTCTCATCTTTCTCTTCGCTCTCTGCTTGATGCGCTTCATATCTGGAAAATATCGAGAGACTAACTATAAAAGTCGGTAAAATAATAAAGAAAAACTGTAGAGGGAGTGCTAGAAAAGTATTGCTTAGAGCTTTTGAAGAATGCTTGTCAACCAAGATGCATTGCGCGAGCGCGGCGGCCATTTTGTGGGTCGAGAAAATGGCGGATTTTGTCATTGTAGTCAATGCAACTTAGACAAACAATAATGTAAATTAGGGTTTTTAATCAATGTTTTTTGCAAACTTATCAGATAAATTAGACGACGTGGTGACGTAATTGAATTTAGTGTGCTGTTAGCTAGAAAACTAACGGTGTCAACGTAAACAAAAGCGCGCAATGCATCTTGGTTGGCACACATTTCTTTTAGATAAGTTAGAAATAAATCAAGGGTAGACTTTCTGGGGGTGGGCGCAAGGGGTGTGCAACTACTGTAGAATATTAATATAATAGTATGAGAGTTTAGGAAATTGTACAGTAAAACCATGCACAAAATTGGAACGACAAAAAATGAGTTCCTGCAATGGGCATTTTCATTGAAACATTAAAATCGAAATAGATTACTTTGCGCAAATTAAGCTGTTACTTTGTCATTTCAACCTTTGTTTGCCCTTAATTTCTCATCCCGGGTCTGTCATGTGTGAAAGCAACTGTTGTTTCACTCTTTGTTGACAACATTTGGATGCATAATTTATGAAGTTTTGATGACAATATTTGGATGCATAATTTATGAAGCTTTGTTGACAACATTTGGATGCATAATTTATGAAGTTTTGTTGACAACATTTGGATGCATAATGTATGAAGCTTTGTTGACAATATTTGGATGCATAATTTATGAAGCCTTGTTGACAACATTTGGATGCATAATTTATGAAGCTTTGTTGACAATATTTGGATGCATAATTTATGAAGCTTTGTTGACAATTTAGGGAAGTAGTGCACAGCTACACATATGAGAATTTTATTCAACTTTATAAACATTCTCAAAAAGCTAATAACACTTCCATTACGCAAGGTTCACTCATCTGCAAGCCTAGAAATCTACAATAGCCCAAGACCCTGGCACCTTAAACTTGGAAAATGATGCACCTCTCTCGGAAAATCAGCACACTTCCTGTCAAATTATAATTATCAGCCCACGAAATAAATTGCTCTCCTATTCACTCTTACTGATATTTGGCAGGAAAACACTCAACAGACTAGAAGAGCAGCTGATATGACCAATGGATACCAAGTATAAGATGAAAGTCCCCCCTCCCTGGCATATCTCTTCCCCACCCCCTCCCTCCCTGGCATATCTCGCCCCCCCCTCCCTGCTGCAAATAGAATTGAAAACATACTTTAAAAAATTATTTAAAGCCTCCTCTTGAGTTATATCACCATGTTTTACTTGTAACATCAGACTCTTCCTGTCTTCTTCACTCATATGAACTCTTGTTGGTAAAATTCCTACTTCTGCAGGTCCACTTATTTTTAACGATTGGACAGGAGAGTTCTTGCTCTTCTTACTGGCAAATAATCGTCCAAGTCCATGTTTTGGTGATTTTTGACTTTTGCTTCTCTGGCCTGTATGCAAGGCAAAGTAGAGCAAAATAATGGTGGTTTTGCAAGAACAACATACACAAGGAAAATATTTGTTTTTTTAATGCTTTGAGTAATTGGAGGAATTTGGAAGATTCAACATCCCATCTAAGTCATTGAAAAAGTGGTGTGCAATGTCAAGATATGGCAATGTCATTGAACAGAATATAGTAATACATACATGTTTATAAATGTTGATCGTCCAGGTCAGTACAGTCCTGTAGTTCAGAGGCAAACCATAACTATGTACAACTAAGTATCTTGAAATGCTAGTGAACACCAATATGAGGCATGAACATGTACAACTAGGTACAACTAAGTATCTTGAAATACTACTGAACACCAATATGAGGCATAAACATGTACAACTAGGTACAACAAAGTATCTTGAAATGCTAGTGAACACCAATATCAGGCACAAACATGTACAATCTAAATCTATACACATATAATAATACTCTCTTGTTCAATTTTTTCAAATCATCTGATCACTTATTTTATGTCTTTTCTCAGATTTTTTCTGAACTACAGGTATGTCAATGAAGTCAGGATTACTTTCGAATGATATCATTATGTATGATGCCATCCTTGATTCAAGCAATTCACTTGAATATAATACATCATTATGTATGATGTCATTATGTATGATGTCATCATTGATTTAAACCATTCACTTGAATACACATATATCTAAAAGGCTACCTGCATACTATTACGTATAATGCAAAATTTAATGCTCGACTGTCACACAATGAGCTTTTTTTAAACCATGGGTAAAAAAATTGAGACTAGTTAAATCGCTTGGTTCAAATTTTGGCAGGAGATAACCATGCTGTAATATTTTCACTTTATTTGTCATGCATAAATCATGGCACCACAGCAAATGTAGTGATACCTAAATATCTCCTTGGGGAAAGCCCACTAGCTTTATTATGAAAGCTAAAAACTTGAATCCACATAAAGATTTTGTACGTACGAAAAGCTCTTGGAGACATAAAGTGAAATTGTTGTGACAATCAACTTGTTATAGCGGTAGTACGGTTTAGAGAGAGTTTCATAGGAGGGATTATGATGGGGTGAAGAGGAGTATAAGGGAGTGAGAGGGAGTAAAATAGGGTTGGGATCATGGCAAAAGGTTGTAGAAGAGGGTAGGATAGGTAGAAGGCACTTTAACATAGTTTGAATCATTTAACTTGTACTTCTCAACTCACCATTTTTTTCAACTGTTGGCAAAGAATTTAAACTTTTTGACAATCCTCTTGAGTCTTGCAATACTTTACTGTTCATCTTCTCTGCCAATTTTGGTGATCGATGCTGAGAAAGAACAATTATGAGAAAATACTTTTCTATTTGATATTTTAGGGTCTAGCATAGAATTTCACCAGAGAAAAAGAATGTTGAAAAGCCCAAAGCCTCCTAATTATAATTCAATGAAATACTAACACGCATTTGATCATTCTGTGTGAACATTCCTTCCTGTCTGAGAAACAACAAGACATCTTTAACATCTTGGAAATATGTATACAGCTGGTCTGCATAATATTGAGCCAGATCGTTGAGCGGATCTTGTTCCACATTCTACAAACATGAAAAGTTATGAGAATGGTGAGAAATGGGATAAAATAATCTTCAGGAAATAGCATTATTAATAACTTTTTATTGGGGTAAATGATTTTTTCTTATTTCTTTTCTGTAAAGATCCATTCATTTGTAGCTACACACTGAACTAAGGAAAATTAACATCAACATTGCTGTGCAGTACCAAGCATGTGCATAGCAGAAAAACATTGAATAAGAGAAATCAAATTCAGTTTAGTTTAAAACTCCTTTTTCACAGTAGAACTTGGGTTTAAATGCAAAATTCAATTATGTAAAATAACTCCTATGCTACAATATATGTCTGGCTGGGGAATGGCAACCCAAATATTTAGTCCAGATGAGCGAATTAAGGTGTGTTTACTTTAACTGACAATAACACATTTCCAAAGACATCTACACGATAATGTTGTAAAATATGCAGAACAGAACTAGACTAATAATTTCCAATGTTCAATATGACTTTGTTTTAAAGGTCATGGCATTTTTAACCTATATACTTCCATTAGAAAACTATAGTGCAATATTAGTAAAGAAACCAGTGATTTATATGGCAGAGTTTACATCATTTGCCATGATAGTAAACAGGAAACTCTCAAAAATAATCAGCAGTGGCAGCTGGTGTGATAAGTGGATAACAAGCATGATTGATGGGGATAAAAGGGTAAGTTGGGATCACTAAGTCTTATGAAATCCATATCAAAACAATTCAACTATTTGACAAATATTTGCTCAACCTTTGATGATAGCAACCTTTTCCCGACGATAAATATCCACTATTACAACGAGTGAGTTACCAAGGGGATATAAAAGAATGGCAAATATTTCTAAACTTTTTAAGATTTTCAAGCTGTCTTGGTTGGGCGAAGTAAGAAAACAAGTCTTTGTTTTTAAAAGTTTTGAAATAAAAACAACACTGAATTTATATTAACATGTACGGAAGCGTCGGAAACTTGGTTTAAAAATGGACTTTTTTCATGAATATTTACTTCGACGAAGCGAGAATATCAAAACAGAACAAATGAATAGTTAAAATTTTCTCACATCAATAAAAATTTGAGCATTTCAGTGAGATACAAAACGTGAGGATTTATGTAAATAAACAAGCAAAGCAAACGCGGCTAATTTCGACTTAATAAAAAGAGCTATCGACACTACATCCCATGAATGGCTTTCAAAGTTTAAGAGTTCAAAGAAGACAAAAGCAAAACATACAAATATTGAAGTTTGTCACACATTTGCATACGCAAGCCGTCAAGACTTGGAAGCAAAATGCACCAAATATCTCTAAATAAAAGCCTATTACTCACAAGAAAATGATTCCCATATCCTTATTATTATCATTATTATTATTATTATCATATGATAATTCCTTCACGTACACTCCGAGCGTATTTATTTTGTACATCATTAAATTATCAATAAACTAAAATGCAATCAGAATCATTAAAAAGGATTCACGATGGAAAGCGTACTTTCTCATGACTAAAACAATACTCACGGGATTTTTTTCGGGTAAAAAACAGTTGTCATCCGTGAGCAAAGATTTCATTTTACTGATGAGTTCATCTCGCCGATATTTCTCGCGGTCGCTTGCGACGGGAAATTTTGGCGTATTTATCGGTGTTTCAGCCTCTAGTTGGAAATACACGGCATTAGCGCCTTGCTCTTTTAGACTCTGCACTGAAGCCAGAATATCTTTACGATCTTTCGCGTTTATCACGCCAATAGCATCTAAATCTTCATCGCCAATTTGTTTGCAAATATCTAGATCGTCATAACCATTGTCTAAAAACGGGTTGATGTATTTCAACAACCCCAAAGACCGTAGCCAGTCGTCCACAGTCGTGTTCGACATGTCTCTGTCGAATTTGAAAAAAAAATAATCGAAACGACAGATAATTTCCACGAGTGAATGTTCAGCGATGTACTTTATCTACACTTGATTTCGACTTTAGTAATCGCATGGTTAATTGCGCATGCTCATTTAGCTATTTGACAGGAAGTACATTTACATAAACACGGCTTTTGGTTGTTCTCATTTAGGTAAAACTGTCTTCAACTCTTTCGAAACTTCGTCATGTTATATTTCGAGGGCAGACGCTTCGTAGAGTGAACGTCAATGCAATGACGGCAAAATCCAATTTAGATCGGCAAATGACATTGCATTTTATGCACGTCATTTATATTATGCGTGGTGTATTTCAATCATTTCCGGTTCGATGGATTTGTTTGTGTTCGATTTACTGTCGTGCCTTCCCACGGCAATCCAAGCAAACTCTAATTTCTAAACCCAACACTTTGTTTGCCTTTTAAAAGCTGAAAATTAAAATTAATGGGTATTTTTCCATGACAACACCTTGACTATCATTATTAAAATCGTCCTCTCGCTAATAACGTAAACGTGCGCGCTACAATTGAAGAAATCCTGATCTTATAAAAATTTCATGTGGCCAATTATAAGCTAGTAATAGTTAATTAACTATTTGCCACATTGAAAGACAATGAAACCGTGCAGTTACTCTCTTTATTAAATTTTAAAGCGTGTGCGTGAAGCACGTGGTTCCTAAATGTCTCGGTGTCAGCATCAACCCACACGTTCTGCTTCATACAAAGTACTTCTCAGAATAGTTATTAAAAAATAATAGATTACAATAGCGTCTGGATGTCGTTCGAGTGGACAGTGGACTTCTTTTTGTGAGGAAAAATTGTCCAAAATCGAAGACATCATAATCTGAAATATTGATCGCGTGACAAATAAATTGAACTTAAGATCATCGTGTTATATGTATTTCCTATCGATTCAACGTGCCCACTTCACTGATATTAATATTATGCTATCAATTCAAGTGCAGCGAAGTTTGAATGCTTTTATTTCTTATTTACCAAGCAGCAGATGCTATAACTGTCCTTTACAAAAACTAGATTTAACAAACGACAAGCAGTATTTCTATAAGGAATGTCCGTTTTCGCGAGAACAATTTCTGCGAAGGATACACTGCAGACGAATAAATATCAATAAATTGACACCAATATTTTTCTTTCACAATGTGCGAATACAACGACTAACGAGCAAAACTTATGTAAATTTCATGAAGTTAATTTTTGATGTCCACACCGCGCTAGCGAGTCAAATTTCTGTACGCTGTTCTTCCGTTCAGCTGTCTCTAGTTTTCAAGTCTTTTCCATAACTACAACACTAGTTAAACCTGATTTTCAATTGCTGTTGACTAGTACCAAATGAAATTTTTTCTAAGCATTATCACAAAATCATTTCTTTCATCGGCCTTAACCCAGTGCCATGATTTTTCATTTATTTCACACAGAATACTAACAAAAAATCGTACATAAGAGAAATATTGTAAATATCAATGTGGAGGGTGGGGAGGGGCGATTGGCACTTCTTGTCGGCGCCACCGTTATAAATGACAATACGGATGAGTGCATATTTTTGAATCAACGCAATACTTTTCTTTCACATTTCGTTGACCGTGATCTTCCTACGTCAAAGAAAAAGAAGGCGAATACAATAGACTGGAACTATCTTTCTTTTGTTTAAAATGTTTACACCACGAGAATTCCATCTTGGTAAGCTGGTTCTTGGAAAACAGATTCTACGATAGTTTCCGCGACTTCCTGAGTTTTCTCGGATTTAAATCTTATCTTAATGCAACAGTATTCTGGTCCTTACAAGATCATCAATAAGACACTATCGCGTCAGGAATATTGTACAGTCTGATATCGTGACAAGTAGTGACCATATGGAAAGACGAGAACGGCTCGTGAAACGTTAATTTTTTGTAAAAAAAATGTAAATATTGTCGCTGCAGCACATGTCGGGTTATGACGTAATAAGGTTGGGCTGCGAACCAATTCGTGCTACGGATATTGTTTAATGAATAGAAATACAGGAGGCTTGTCACCCCACTGAATGAATGTAAAGAGAGGCTTGTCACCTCACTGAATGAATGTAAAGAGAGGCTTGTCACCCCACTGAATGAATGTAATGAGAGGCTTGTCACCCCACTGAATGAATGTAAAGAGAGGCTTGTCACCCCACTGAATGAATATTAGGGGAGACTTGCCACCCCACTGAATGAATTTAAGGGAGGCTTGTCACCCCACTGAATGAATATAAGAGAGGCTTGTCACTCCACTGAATGAATATAAGGGGAGGCTTGTCACCCCACTGAATGAATATAAGAGAGACTTGTCACCCCACTGAATGAATATAAGGAGGCTTGTCACCCCACTCAATGAATATAAGAGAGGCTTGTCACCCCACTGAATGAATATAAGGGAGGCTTGTCACCCCACTGAATGAATATAAGAGAGGCTTGTCACCCCACTGAATGAATATGAAGGTTTGCTTGCCCCTCTGAATGAATATAAAGGGAGGCTTGTCCCCCTGAATGAATATAAGGGGAGGCTTGTCACCCTACTGAATGAATATAAAGGGTGACTTTCCCCCCGTCTGGCGACGTCACTAATCTAGCTACTTTACGTTGCATTTTAGTTGCTTTATGAACAAGTTAATAAATCTTGTTTGTCGCGAGAATTAATTAAGGCCGTATAACCCAGAGCTAGGTTATCATAAGTAAAGAATCACACAAAGGTATCGGACAGTTAACGAATTGATTCTAATATGAACTCATAACCACTTGCGCCAAGATTCTTTACAATTCGAACGAAAAATTATGAAAGTTCTATGTACAGAAGGCATATATAATACGCGAAATTTAAAATACCAAGTCTGCAGTAAATAGATATATAACATAGTAATAAAAGATTCATGTTTAAGTTTATTCCGCGTTTTCCTCTTCCTCTTCCTGCCCGTTTTCATCTTCACCATTTTTCTGTGGACTCTCGTCCCCAGACTCGCGCGCACTTTCCTGTGCCGATGCTTCTGGCTCTGCCTCGGGAGATTGGGAACGAGATTTAGATTTAGATTTAGGTTCCTCTGACTTCGATCTTGACCTTGAAGGCGTTTGTTTCTTTTCATCACCGCTGTCCTTAGAACGAGATCTGGAACGCGATCGTTTTGGGGATTTTGATTTAGATTTTGATTTGGATTTTGATTTGGATTTTGATTTAGAGCGACGACGACGCTTCGGTGATCGAGATCTGAACATAGACAAATTACATGGAATTCAAACTAATGGAACAAGAAAGAAATTGGCCATCTTTAAGACAACGTCAACGGAAAGTGTAAATAGCTTATATCGGTCGTATATATGTAGTGAAGGTTCCCGTGTAATCAGTGTCTCGTATGACAAAGACAAAACGTTCGTTAAAAAGTTATTCAAAAACGACAACTATCGGTCCTTTTAAAGTGCTTGTATGGTGTTTTTGCAAGTGGGGGTATGTAGATAGTTTAGAAGATGTTTGAAACATATTGTCAATACATTATATAATACAAAAATTTGATCTTCGTGTATTTTCTAAAGCTCAAATTGGTAATTATTTGATCATACTTTCGAACTATAAAATATAATACACCAATTCTTAAAGTAGCCTGAACAATCTAAATGGTAGAAATGATAAAACTTGATACAAGCACTTTAAAAGTTATATGTTTATTATGTTCAAGAAGTCAATTATGCTTAAAAATGAAATTTTCACTTTCTCATTTCAATTTTTTTGAACGCGATTTACGCTAAGTAGATTAGCGATTTACACCAAGTGCATTAAATCTTGAATTTTTAACGGACGTAAGATTTAATGAAGTATGATGATTCCTATAAATACCTTCGTTCCCTTGACCTCGAGCGTGATCGAGATCCACCAACTTTTTCCTAAACAAAAAGCAGATAACGAATCTTCAATAATGATAAAACAGGATTAAATTTTACTACGCTTTCTATAGTCTATTTACGCACAGAAACTTTTTTCTCAGAGGAAAATGGGTTTTTACATCACGCACGAAATTTTTCATTAAAGCTTTGTAAATTAGTACGTATTTAGGTATTTTACTAAGATGGCAGGCGCTACAATCAACCACTTTACATATAAAAGCAAAACAACAGGGTAAATACAGTACCGCTCAGAAGTAAGTTTACCGAAAACGCGTTCCGAACTCGTTCCAAAATGCGTTCTAATTGCGTTCGATTTTTGGGTTTTTGCGTTCGGAAATTTTCAGAACGTGTCGCCTAAATTTTTTACAACGCGTTCCGGAACGCGAAGGCAGTGTTAAGTTACTTCTGAGCAGTACTGTACCTCTTTGCAATACAAAAAAATTGAGCACATAATAGTACACAAGGAGTAACATACAACAGACAGTTTGATTTTCCTCCCGTTCACTTCTTGTCCCTGTAACTTTTTCAATGCGGTCTTCATGTCATCCTTTGTTGCAAATTCCACAATCCTACAATGAAAAACAAGGAAAACATACAGTTGACGAGCTTTTGTCTACATCATTACTCATTTAACAAGATCTGCTGACATGTTAAGTATTATTTTCCGCTGGCGGAGGAACGAAATAAGCGGAAAATATTTTCTCATACCCGCTTGCTGCCCGAGAGTCAGGTGGTGCGGGTTGGCATGCATGTTTTTGTTGTTGTTTTGCCGTGCTATTACCACTAATCCACCCGGTGTAAATAGTTATGTTCAGTCGAGGCGGAAGATGTTTTGCATTGGGGGGTCGGTGGATGGTGGGTGAATAACAAAAAATGTCTTGGCAGGGGCATGGCATTTTAACCTTTGTAGTTGTTGTTGTCAAACTCACAAATATTTTTTTTTCTTGCTTCGGTCCAAGACTAGTGAAAAAGCTACTTATTTTAGACTGCACCATATTGCCATTGCATTTGCGCCATGTTCTAATAACAAATTTGGTGCGATTTTCTTCCTAGCATTAACTCCCAGTACTTCAAGTAAATGAAAATCTATGGGAGAAGCAAGCTTTCAAAATGGTTGTCAGTATATAAGTTTCCATCTAAGTTAATGATTTTCCTTCGTCAAAACATAAAAATTTATTACGGGGAAAATATTGGAGAAAGTAACTCTTCAATTGGGGAGGTGAGACTTAGCCACCCATCTGAATTATTAGGGGGGCTTCAGCCCCTTGGCCCCCCTTTTCCGCTACCCATGGTTATGTTATACGTATATATGGATGCATTGTCCGAACTTGTCAAGTTATTTAGCTTATGGGGTGTATGGCCTTACAAGTTTCTAAATAGTTTGTATTTGATGGTTGGTTATGGATAAAAAATAAAGTAAAGCTTGCAGCACTTGCCTGTAGCAGCTCCCAGTGGTGTATGAGAAAAAAACATTACACCTATTGATATGAGTTTTTTACTGATTCCTCTATAAATACATATGGTAAACTTTGTGCTTAAATAGTTAACTTTTAAACATACCCAGTATTCTTTTCTCGCTTGTGTGCATCAGAAAAAGTCACTTCAGCAGCATCGTTAAAGAGCTCTTTCAATTCCTATAACAGGAAAAATGTTGCAATGCCAGGCGAAGCCATGTCAACAAATGCTACTCAAAGTTGCAATGCCAGGCAAAGCCATGTCAACAAATGCTACTCAATGTTGCAATGCCAGGCAAAGCCATGTCAACAAATGCTACTCAATGTTGCAATGCCAGGCGAAGCCATGTCAACAAATGCTACTCAATGTTGCAATGCCAGGCGAAGCCATGTCAACAAATGCTACTTAAGTCTTATTTTTGTCTGTTTCATTCACCAAGATGCTTGCCCAAAATTTATGAGAATCTGTTTGCTGGTTGAATATTTTGATATCACAGGGCAAATCTAGCTTTTTTTTCGTCAAGAATTCTCAAAACAATATCTTCAATGTTTAGCCCAAAAAAGTCTCTAACATTAAATGTAAAATTTGACCTTGCACTTCACATTATATTAAAATCATGATTGAACTCAGAGACTGAACATCACGGGGCTTCTTCATCAAGGTGCGAGCCTTCCATTTCAAATACTCACCATTCAATCACACCTGTTACACAAACATGACCGGAAAGAACTGTCCTATGGAAGCCATGTTTTATAAGAATCAGAAATGGCTAGGCACTGGATGATGTTGGTCTGTCAGGCTGGCCGGACCTTGTGACATGGAGAACATGGAATGGCCGGGATGGTAGAACAACTCTTGGTCTAAGGACAGGACCCTTGTATTTAAGACAGGGTACACGGACGCGCATACAATTTCTATGTTTGGAATGACGTACATTTGGTCATATGGCTGACATTTGGATTGGACCAATCGCAAGTACTCACTACTTTAAGGTCACTGTAGTAAGGATTAAATACCAGATTATTGGAAATAATTTAGACATCCTACTCAATTTCCTATTTTATTCGAGCACTTCCAAGTTATCCTGATCAAATTGAAAAATGAACAATGATCCCAAGGAAAATTTTAAAATATGTTGCATTGAAAAGTGAAAAAAGTACAAAACTCCATCGAGGTTGACAAACCTGCCAATTTATACGGCTCGATAAGTTTTCCACCAGCAGTCGATGATCAGTTCGGACAGGTATATTTCGACTTTTCCTGAAAGCATTCATGCATAAATTAAATATTTATAATTGGCGAAGTTGATGTTCAGATAAGCAATGTAAACATTTACAATTTAAACAACCCCCACAAAAAAATATGCAAGGATGAATTTGTTTGTGTGAGGTCAGGGTGTATTCTGGGTAAACACCAACATATGTCAAAAAAATGTTTTCTTATGCCAACATAAGCTAACCTGCACAGCAAGGTACATGCTGAACCCCTGTCGTACACTATGGCAGAAATCTTGAAGACTTTTACTTCTTTTAATATTTTCAACCATTTAATTTTAGGACAAAGCATGAAATATATTTTAGCATAAAATTATTAATGAGTTATCCTAGGCAAACATTTGCATGCCGTTACACCAAGCTGCATTTAACTTGACACAGGATATCTCAGCACTTTTGACAACAGAATGCACCCTGGATTCAGAGGGGAGGGGAGGGGAGACACTCGCACTGCTAGTCTTGGGTGTAGGGGTAGAGAAACATTAATATACCAAGCATTTACAAGGAAGCAATGAGGACTTCATTTAGTGCAGCACACTTCTAAAAAATATCTCCCAGTCATAGTATAAGAAAAACAAAAATTAATAAGAAGAAAACGAAAACTTATGCGAACTAAAGCATGCCCTCTCTTCACTTGAGAAAATAGTAAATTCTTATAAAATTTCACCTTGAGCTACGATATCTATCAGGACTTCTTTCTCTTCTAAATCCATAGGAAAAATCTCGTCTTGAAGAAGGATCTCTGGCATGTTCAATGATGACTCTAAAAAAGCCATTAGCCATAAACATAATCAAGTCTTTCTTTATTAAATACGATTCCTAAACTTCACATTTTCTCTTTACAATCCTACCGTTCTCCCAGTAACTCTCTACCATTTAACTCCCAAACCACGTCTTCCGCATCTCTTTCATCATAAAATTCCTGCAATATCAAATAAGTGGCGACAATTAAATACGGTTAGGCTAATTTCGATTATTACTGAAACATTACGTAGCATTTTACGAGGCTACACACTTTACGATAAAAGGTTTTTTCATCAAACAGTTTCACATCGCAATCGTTTTCAAAAATTTAGTATTCAAATTTATATCAATAAATTGCAGCAAAAATTCGCAACCAAAACACTAATTATATATATTTGTCGCTTTCAACAGCTGAAAATGCATCAACACATACCACAAAACCATAGCCTCTTTTCAGACTTATATCTCGTATTCGACCGTATCCACGAACAAATTTTTCGACATCTCTTTCTCTAATATCTTCTCGTAACTTTCCGAAGTAAAGTCTTGTCTTACTTCGCGACATTTCAACGAAATATTTGGTAAAAAATCACCAACAAATTCTTTACCAATTTCAAGATAATGGCGGACGCGTCTAGTAAATAGTTAATCTTCACACGCGGGGGTCTCGAGAAAAATTACCCATCACGCTTCCAAGCAATTTCATTGGTCCTTTTCAAACGTCATAATGCAAGTTACGTCATTCTTATTACGTTTCCTGTACCAGTCGGCGCCTTTATTCCTTTCTTTGATCTTTTGACGTGTTATCACTTTCCACAAATCGGTGACTGACTACCTCCAAAAATTTGTTGAGAAAATATTGCCCAATACTTCTCAGCGTGCGCTTCCAGTTGAGCGTCTAAAACATGTTGACCGTGGAATCTTTTCAGAACGATTTGAAAATCTTCTTCCTTTGTAGTCGATGTTAGCTCCTTTGCAATTTTTTTTATATGTACATTTAAATGTGTTCCCAATTGTTTGTGAAAGCTATGTGATGTTACTTAACTCAAAGACTGGCTCGCACGACAATAATTTTTGAATTCTGATTTAGTTGAAGTCAAACACATAATTCAAGATTGTCATCCTCTTGAGTTTGGGGCAACGCTTTAGTAAATTTCTATCTGATGCGTGGGATTCTGAATCCCATAGGATACAGTGATCACTGATCATGCTCAAATAGGAGAATTATTCTTTTTTTGGCGTGGTGCAACCACCCGGTGTTAAATGCTAACCGAGCCAGCCTCATTGTCGGCCTCAGCTGATAAGTAGTTCATTAATAATTCATATTAGTTATTACATAATGACGTAATCGTTTCTCTTTCAAAATCTCAAAATTCCAATGCAAAGTTCTGCTCAGTTTTGAATTTTTGACAACATACGTTTATGATGAGGGATCTTCATACCAACAAAATAGTGAATAACTCGAGCAATTAAAATATATAATGCAAAAGTTACTGGAGAGTTAAGAAGTTTTTGTCAACAGTTGTTGATGGATGGGGCTTCGAAAGTCATCGAGAATGACAATGTCAGCATTTGTCCTGTGTGTGATGAGTTTGTTGATAAACTGCAACCAATGGAAGTGCATGTAAACGCACATTTTAACGAGGAGAGCACTTCAGATTTCGGTATGATGACAATAGTGTCGTGTATATAGCAGATTGCAAGTGTAGTTCTGTGATATAAGCAGCAAAACTTTGTGATTCATTTTCTCAGAAATATAGAATTTAGATCTCTGTTTTTGTTATATGTTGAGAAAATTTCCCACTAACATTAAATTGTATCATTTGGGATATCACACTGAAGACAATTGTCAATGTATGTATGATTTACCCCATGAAAGTTTTATTCTATGCTTTTGATTTTCATCCATGTTTACCATCTATTATACAACTGTGGCGTGCAATTAACACGGTATAATTGTGCCTAAATTGTTTTGAATGTACAAAGAAAATTAAATTCTTCTTATCTCAGAGCCTCTTTCAAAAGAAAAAATAAATGATGAGATGCTGGCTAGAATTTTGCAAGAGGAAGAAGATTTGGAATACGCTAGACAAAGTCAACAGGGCAATGATGAGTTTCAAAAACTGCAAGTAAACTATGTGTCCGTTCTATCTGGTTGTGTATTTTGTTTACCATGCATTCAAAATATGAAAATTTTGAGGCCGGGGAAAAAAAATTGTAGCATCTGAACAAAAATTCTGTTTTTTATGAATTTCTAATGAATATTAATTTAGCTAAAATCTTACCGATGAAATTGTTTTTTGAGGTATTTTGTCACACGATAAGACCAGTGGCATGCTGGGAAGAATTTTTGGGGCTGAGGATTGGGTGGGCAGTCGATTTGCTCAGAAATTTCATCCCAGAAGACATACCACCTTTAAAAATGAGAGCCAAAGGCTTGAACAATGCACTGCAGATGCAAAGTTATACGATGATAGTCTTGGCCAAGCTCAACAAGAAAATTTTTAAACTAAGAAGCTCTAAAATGTCATTTCTTGGACTTTGAGGGATGAAATATTACCAACTGTATAATTTCAAATGCATTTTTCCTACCCAAATTCAAAACTTGACTGCCCATTTTTATTTCCATGCCCCTCCAATCAACAGCTAGGGAGATGATGGCCCCCAGACCTCCCCTGCTAGCACTCTACAAGATTGTTCATGGTGCTAATGTCTGTCTTCATTGCTTGATAGCAAACCTATGGCATGTGTTCTTCATCAGAGAATTCAGAGCAATGCACTTCATTGCAACCAAGCTACAAGTGTAGTTCCCAGAAGAATGAATTGTTCAGTTTTCATCTTACCAGCGAAGATAGCCAAGCGACATGTACCACAGGTTAAGAAATTTCAGCCGTGTAATTCAATGATTTATTGCAATTTATTTTTAAATATACGTCTTTCCTGATGTGAAGAACTTTAAACAAATTCCCAATCCTATAGGTGTTTTAGAAAGTCTACAAAAGAATCTCCAAGCAACAGGACCACATCCAAGATATTCTTTTCATTTCTGTTGTGCAACAGATCATTTTTCAAACAGCTATTTTGATCGCAGCTGGGGTTGTGGTTACAGAAACTTGCAGATGTTACTTTCCGCATTGATTCGATTGGATGTGTATAAAAATACACTTGCCAAAAGTAAGAGGATGCACCCCATTGCTATTTGATTTGAAAATGGAGTGTATTGATTGGTGCACAATAGGGTGTGTGTGTGTATTATGGGGGTTATCCAATGTTTTGTTAAATGTATAAAAAGTTTGTCAAGAAACTGATGGAGGGCAAAAGAGTTGGTCTGACTAAAATTGTGGGCTTTATCTATCATAAATAGAAACACTAAGAAGTTGGTCCCAGCTCCCTGAGAATGTACAACGCCCTCAAATTATTTTGGAATGTGTTTCTTTTTTTAAGCCCTCAAATTCCTGAAATGTAAATTTCAATAATTTTATCTGGATTTTAGTTTGTCAAAAAGTTCCATCAATTCCAACCATTCAGATGTGGATTGAAAATGCATGGCATCATGGTAAATGATTCAATAAAACTTACTCTTTCATCTTAGATGAAGTAAACAAATGGTTGAGCGGTCTGCTGGCCAGGTAGTAATTTTTTCCCTTCTATAACTTTTTGTCTTTTAGGATTTGATGTACAAGGTGCTGCACAACTTGGTCACAAACTATTGAAGACAAAGAAATGGATAGGAGCAACGGAAATTGCTGTTTTCTTGAGGTTCATTGGCATAAAGTACGAATTTAACTTGATTAATTTAAAAGATTTTAATCTTGATAAGGTTGTGCAGTACTGACGACTGCACGATACATATATATATGGAAGTTTAAACTGACTCTGACTCGAATGACAGTCTTAGGTCAAAATTCAAAACTGTTATGAGCGATATATATTTATCCATTTATTGAATTTCAAGATTGTCACTTTAGAATCTGAAAACGGCTTCCATTCATAATGGCTCTCCAAACGCCAGTAACCAATTAAATTCCTCTTTAGGAATGGTTCTGCAAACGTCAGTAACCAATAATAGCCCTCTTTAGGAATGGCTCTCCAAACGTCAGTAACCAATAAAAGCCCTCCTTATGACTGGCTCTCCAAAACGTCAGTAACCTTTAAAAGCCTACTTTGGTTATTCTATTTTGATTTTGACAGATCAATTATCGTTGATTTTCACCGTGCGACGGAATCTGACGGAACACATCCGTTGATGTACGACTGGTTCAAAGAATACTTCTCTGGAAGTTCGCATCAGACTCCTGTTTACATACAGCATCAAGGTAAATGTGATAGAACTGCGTAAGTTAAAGGAAAGAAACTCCCGCTAGCAATAACAGATTAAGCATTGGGGAGAATTTTAGATACCAATGAGCATGTGCTGTTCTTTAAACTATTTGAAAATTTCGTACACTATCATCTACCTAAGATGTCGGTGTTTGTAGTAACAAATAAAAAACATTGACAGTTCGGAGTCTTTTAAATTATTTAAAACAAAATCTTCCCGAATCCTCGGTCAGCTTTGGATGTAATGATGAATAAATATGTAGCATTTGTTGCGAGTTTATAAAACTATGAAGACGAAGTTTTCAGTTAAGATGCTTGTGTTAGTTCTAATAAAAAAATTTCAGTACATTACTTTAGTTAAGTGTCTTTAAACTGTAGTAAAGTGTCTGAAACTATCCTTGCATCAAATTCACGTACGGTTTTGACTAGGTCATAGTCGTCTGGTTGTTGGTTACGAAGAACATCACGCAAAAACGAGAACTCCAAGTTTAATACTTTTGACCCGTCGTCTTCAAAGAACAGATGCAAAACTCATCAAAGTTAAAAACAGCGTCAAGTTTTAGTTTTCTTAAAAAGACACCGAAGCAGATGAAATCGAAGCAATATCAGCTTGTGTATGTCGATGGATTGATAAACGAAGATGAAAAGGAGGTACAGGATGTTGTTTTTAATCCATTGAAATTTATACGGCTTTGGAGGAAAATTATTCGTATGAGTATAATTTCAGATTTTCAGTTGTTTCCGTTTCCGTGGTGTACTTTTGAATCCTATTTTGTCCAGTGAAATTATTAACAGAATCATTTTCATTCACTTCTTCATTGTTTCTCTCCTTCAAGGCCCACAAACTGCTGACGTCAACGCGAATTCCGTGATAATGAAGTTTTATTGAACAATTTGATATTTTCTAGTGGTTTATTTTGTAATTTTAGAAGTACAAGAATCTACGGAGGGGGGGAGGGGGGAGGGGGGAGATAAAACTTCATCGAAAATTTTTGGTTTTCAACTATTTACAATTAATTCCTTTGAATTTAAAAATTATATGTTTTACAAGAAAATAGTATGATTATTTGGAATGTTTGGAGGGGGTGGCCAGTTTTCATGTTTTAAAAACTTAAGTGGCTCGAGCTGCCCCCCGGGCGTTGTATTTCTTACGCGTGCATGTATGAAAATATGGAGTAGATTTAGAACAAAGATTATCCAAACGTTAATCTGATTATATTGTAATCTGTGTATTCTGTAAACAATATCATTTGGAAGTTTAAGACCAACCGTTGAATGCGATTTGATTCTTTTTAACGAGAAATTTTAGGAATTGTTATTAAGATAGCCATTGTCATGTTGAATGGCGAAAATAATCTAATAGTTCTGAAGAATTGTTTTAAAAACAAAAACGAAAAGAAACGATGCATTTCGTAGTTTTTGAAATAGTTTTTAGAGCTCTTATGTAGGTGTTCGACTTTTCACCATGACAAAATCTCAAATTTTAGGAAGTGAAATAATTTATCCAGGCCCTTGTCATACACTTTATTTATAAAACAGCGCGCTTTTATCGACATCGTTGTCGTACCGTCGAAAGCAAGACGTTGTTCATCATTTCGCTTAAATAGAGTAGCAAAATATTTTATTATTGTGCAATTAATCCTGGAATATTTTAACTGTTGCTTCATACATCAAATGTGTTAAGAGAATTTACAAACATGAAATATTCATTTTACAATCACACGACACATTCATATTACATTTACTGTCACACTTATTTTGTTATAATTCTTTATATGCGTTTATAAACTATTAAACATTCTTTCGCTTGAACTTCCATATCCTTTAGTATTATCCTCCATAATCTTTCGTATAGCTTCACATCCTTCCGAATTATTTTCCGTATCCTTTCGTACATCCTCCATATCCTTTCGTACATCCTCTATATCCTTTCGTACACCTCCATATCCTTTCGTACATCCTCCATATCCTTTCGTACATCCTCCATATCCTTTCGCACATCTTCTATATCCTTTTGTACATCCTCCATACCCTTTCGTACATCCTCCATATCCATTCGTATATCCGCCATATCCTTTCTTATCCTCCATATCTTCACGTATACCTTCCATATCCTTTCGTGCAACCCTTCACAACTTTCGTAAAATTATCCGTATATTTCTCAAAGAGTTTGGTATTTCTCTCTCAAACTAACATTTTATCTCATCCTCATTCAAGGGGTACTCAACGATCATTCCACACACAGGGGTCTCACTCTTAACAGTATGGATTTTAACTGTCAATAATTTAGGGGGGGGGGTATTCTAACATTTAAGGACCGTGCTCAAACTCAAAACCGTTTTGAGGAATGTTAAGATTCGGTGCAAATTGAAATTGTCCATCATCGTTGGTGTGTGGAACAATTTGCTCCACTTCATCACCTGTACAAAAGAAATTCTCGAGTATTTCAAAAGCCTTCTTGTAAATTTCTTCGTTTTCGTGACTTTGAAGAAACTCGATCTTGTCGAGACCTGTTTTAGAAACAAATCATCTCAGTTTTTATATCATAAAAATTGTATTATTATGCAGTAGCAAAGCAAGAGCGTTTTTTATTCATAACATGCAAACATTTCTGTGCTTATTTACTTAAACTAGGCATCGAAAAACAGTTAAAAGATCAAACTTTGTACTAAAACTTTACACTGAAAAAATGAATGGAATAAATTTTCTAGAACCAAAAAGAATTCTCATTAACACTGTTGTTCTTCCGAGTGAAGAAGGACTGGCACTAAAACACTCACCATAACTTTCCTCCACAATAAGCGCATATTTATTTGTCTCCCCGCTTAGCTTGCCGTCCAAATCGCCAATTTTCAAAATATTTTCGAGACCGTTGAGTGCAACACGGATAATCTTCATGTCCATAACGGTAAGAAGATCGCAAAGAGGTGGAATACAGCCTTGATCAACGAGATATCTTAAAAGACATAATACACACTCCTCAAACACTGAGACTGGTCATTGTTATGAGCCTGCAGTTTAACAGGACTCAACAACGTAGTGATGCTGATACTTTATAACAATATCTATGAAAAGTAGAAAACTAAAGAAGATACTGAACAAAACAATTTCTTAAAATTTTCATCTCTTTCTTGATATTCAAGATAAAACAAGCGTTTATAAGCAGAGTAGGTACTATTTTGTCTTCATTCGTTAGAGATCATAGTCCGGCATTGATAACACCTGATTGAGGCTGAACAAAAGCGTGCGTGCGCTCGTTGATGCGTGCCTATACATTGTTGAGTGCGTTTGAACAGCTCATTCAACAATTGAACTATAATACATGGAACGTTACCTGTTATAGAAAATCCTAATAATTTTTTGAAGCCAAATCTTGCACCCATACACGCGAGATTACACCCAGAAACGCGTGTGTAATCAATCAATTTTCACTCCACGAGAGAATCTTGAAACACTAAACACGCGTGTCTGGGTGTAAGATTTGGCTTCAATTATTTATTTCAGATAGCGTTCCATGTATTTTAGTTCAATGCACTCAATAGCATTAAGTTAACGCATGCGCACTGTACAGCGTATATTATTGTAAAAATGGCGCCGTTGCTGGGCATCGTGGAATATTTCATCTCGTAGTCTCAACATGTTGTGAGAGGGTTTGAGCACATCCCTAAACATCACTCAACAAGCGCAAGACATATTGAGTGAATATGTTTGAGTGCGTTTGCACACGTAGCTTCATTCGCAGAAATCCTACAGTCCAATCATATCAAGACATTAAGAAATAAAATTACCTGATTTGTTCCGGAGTACCACCAGATGTAGCATTTGTAATGGTCCATGCCGCTTCCTTTCTTGTTTTGAATTCCGCTTTGCTTAATATTTCAATCAACATTGGTATAATGTTTGCATCAATCACCATCTATTTTAACATATAAATAATGATAAATTACGTGGTTACATGTTTGTAAATGTAGATCGTCCAGGTTGGTATAGTCCTGAGAAGGACTGTTTTTGTTGTTGTTGACTGACGTTTCGACAACCTTAGTGGTGGTCATCTTCAGTCATCTTCATTTGACTCTGAAGATGACTACTGCTAATGTTGTCGAAACGTAAGTCAACAACAACAAAAACAGTCCTTCTCAGGACTATACCAACCTTGACGATCTACATTTACAAACATGTTACGATACTCCCGGGTTCAAACCATTTACTAAATTACGTGGTATTAATTATTGACTATTTTGATGGTTGTACAATCAGAAAAAGCGACGACCCGAACTACAATTTTGACAGTCTAAATTCACCGAGCATCTGAAAGAAAAGCGCTAGTTTCTTTCATATTTTAATATCATAGATAATAACATCACGTTGTTGTGATGTACTCAGGTATAGTAACAAGATAATCATTGTCTTCAATGCTCAACCAACTGAACTACAATCAACTGTGGACTATGATGATATTTCAAAACACAGTTCTAGTTTCTTTCATATTTTAATATCATAGATAATAACATCACGTTGTTGTGATGTACTCAGGTATAGTAACAAGACATGTTACATCATTTTATGTAAATCAATTTCCAAACCTGTATTTGAACACGATTACCAGCGGTGATATTAGATAGCGTCCAACAAGCTTCTTTTCGTATGCTCTCCTTAGATGAGCTCAACAAACGCAGCAAACTCGGTAGAGCATTGCAGTTTAAAATAACCTGAGCAGAGAGAAAAAAAAAGAGAGCACTTATCAGAATCTTACAGTTAAATATGAAAGTATATATGATAGTAATTTAGCCAAACAGATAACGACATTACTGTAGAGCACGAAGCCTAGAAACAGCAAACCTAAACCTGGAATTTGAAAATTAAAAAATCGAATCTGGAATCCTATTTCTCCTACTGTATAACACTATGCAGGAGACGGGAAAGCCTGAAAAGTGTATTTTAGTTTGCGTATTAAGTTAATGGAAACCAATATGATTTACTGACTTTTTTACCAAATGATTTGTTTCTAACTAAAGCCTCAAGGTCCTTACCTGTGTTTGTGTATCATCACCAGTCACAATATTACCAACAGCTCTAAGACTTGCCGATACCACTGTGTTGAATGGATGCCTAACATGAGATACAAAAATACTATCATGTACTTCATACATCACTTGAAACATGAGATACACAAGTATACCATCATGTACTTGATACATCACTTGAAACATGAGATACACAAGTATACCGTCATGTACTTGATACATCACTTGAAACATGAGATACACAAGTATACTATCATGTACTAAATGTATCACTTGAAAATGAGATACACAAGTATACTATTATGTATTAAATGTATCACTTGAAAAATGAGATACACAAGTATACTATCATGTACTAAATGTATCACTTGAAACATGAGATACACAAGTATACCGTCATGTACTTGATACATCACTTGAAACATGAGATACACAAGTATACTATCATGTACTAAATGTATCACTTGAAAAATGAGATACACAAGTATACTATTATGTATTAAATGTATCACTTGAAAAATGAGATACACAAGTATACTATTATGTACTAAATACATCACTTGAAACATGACATCCATAAGTATACTATCATGTATTAAATGGATCACTTGAAACATGAGATACACAAGTATATCATCATGTACAAAAGTATATACGTTCGTAGCGAACATAATGAACAAGTCATTGTGGTCAATAACGTGAAATCGACGCATTAACAGTCAACGATGTCAGTCACTTGAATTCAATCTCAACAACTTTTGAGCTAGACCTTTAGGTACATGTGAGTACACACACTACGCTTCAAATGCAAATACTGGATCTTTGGATGCAGGTTTATATAGCTAACATAGTACACATACGTACAGCAGTAATTCAACAAGTTTACGACAAACACCAGATGCAATAACAGCTTGAATTTTGTCATTAGGACCATCGGAGAGATAAGACAATACCCAGCATGCATCAGCCAATATATCGGGATCGGTTTGATGCATTGTTGACCCATCTCCATTGAATATAAGACGAGCCAACACCGGTAGACATATAGAGACCTTAAATGAAGTACATTACATTAGTAAAATGGCGTGTACTGTTTTAAAAAGCAAAGATAAAAAGTTCAAAATGAAAGTCTTGTAGGTAAACAAGTGACTTAAGTAATGAAAAAAAGAATCTCTAGCCGAAGTATTTATGGTAAAAAGAAATGCTCAGGCTTGAAGATAAGCGAGAGTATCGCTAGGTACGAAGTTTGTAGTTAAAGCCACAGCCGAAGTATTTATGGTAAACAGAAATGCTCAGGCTTGAAGATAAGCGAGAGTATCGCTAGGTACGAAGTTTGTAGTTAAAGCCACAGCCGAAGTATTTATAGTAAACAGAAATGCTCAGGCTTGAAGACAAGCGAGAGTATCGCTAGGTACGAAGTTTGTAGCTAAAGCCACAGCCGAAGTATTTATAGTAAACAGAAATGCTCAGGCTTGAAGATAAGCGAGAGTATCGCTAGGTACGAAGTTTGTAGCTAAAGCCACCTGCGTTTCACAAACTAATTTTTGTTTTTTTTTACGCAAATTTTCTCAAATTTTACGCAGTTCCTGTAGCAGGGCTCGAAATCGAAAATTTCAACCAGCATACAAAACGGTCGCTAGGGTGCGAATATCAAGTATCCCAAATTAAAATTTTTGTATCCCAAATTTTGATATCGTAGAGTATATTTCATACGTAGGCAATATCAATGTAAAGAAAATCATTAGAGGACACGTATGCTATGCAAATACACAGTACAATGAAAATATGTTGAAACTATTGACTGTTCATATAGGAAGAAGAAAAAATTCATATATTCTTGAGTAATGTACTTTTACGCAAAAGTAAAACTAAAATGACAATTGGTAATCGCTAAAACACGTCAGAATCAGCGTCTTCAGAATCAGAATCAAACATTACTAAGACATCATACTGCTCGGAGTCGTTCTCAACAGATGCACGTGTTTGCGTACAAATAAGTTCTAAGACATCATACTGCTCGGAGTCGTTCTCAACAGATGAACGTGTTTACGTACAAATAAGTTCTAAGACATCATACTGCTCGGAGTCGTTCTCAACAGATGAACGTGTTTACATACAAATAAGTTTTTCATTGACACCTTATAAAAATATGTTATTATCTTAAGTCACAGAAAAAACTGCACTTGGAAAACCTTAATTAAATTTCATTGGTAGCTCAACAGGTAGAGCGGCGGACTAGTATCCCGAAGGTGCGAGTTCAAATCTCGTCCATGTCACATGTTTTTCATGTGCATATCAAAAATCCGTGTTAGGATTAATATATTATAAATTTCATTGCGTTATGATGGCGACTTACAGCTTTCATTGTTTACAAGCATTTCACAACGATCCTATCTAAGAATCTTGCAAATACTTCGATTTTTCTAGTATCCCATTTGGATAGTAAGCAAGTGATATTTAGTATAGAATATTAAAATCTGGTGTCCAGTGGATATTGGACTAACGAAAATTTCGAGCCCTGTGTAAAATCTTTAGAACGACATTCTGTGAAAGAACAAACCTTGCCAAAGTCAGGAGGTGGATTTTTTCCTCGACAAAGATTTGATAAAGCCCACACAGAGTTCTTTACCATGCTTAACTTTCCTGATGTTGTTATGATCCTGCAAGATGATATTCATGTAAGCAAAATATAAATATGTACAAATCACAGTTGTTGGGATAATGTACGTATATCGTGACGAAACCGCGACGTCATAGTAACGTATATTGTATGAGTAAAAACAATACATACGTTAATAATGGTTCTAACATGCCATTGTTGATGACAAAATCTCGACATTCGGGGCTGTCACCAGCGATGTTACCAAGAGCCCAAACGGCCTAAAGCAGAAAAATCAAGCAAATCAGATTTCTACAGTAGCAGACCCATAGAATGCAAAAAAAAACAGAAGTTTACATAAGGAGTGCGAGTATATGGCCTTTAATAGTTTTACAAGATTATTTAATTGCAATTTGCTCTTAATGAATTACACAATAAACTTATGTTAATTGGAATATACGTACATAGAGAGTTAACACAACATATCAATGAAACAATGTGACCTTGTCAAAGTCTCCACCCTACACCTTACATACACACCACTCTTCCCCCATTTCACTCGATACTTTACATGCACATAGCCCCACTCCAACTTTATACCCCATACACTTTACATACAAACCACTCTTCCCCAGTCCCACTTTATACCCCATACACCTTACATACACATAACCCCAGTCCCACTTTATACCCTATACACCTTACATACACATAACCCCAGTCGCACTTTATACCCTATACACCTTACATACACATAACCCCACTCCCACTTTATACCCCACACACTTTACACAGACTCCCCTCTCCCAACTGACATCAACTTCAAAGAAACAACACCAACAGACAAGTGCTTTACAAACCTGTTCTTGAACATCTTCATGTGGTGACTTCATCAAAGCAATGAATATTGGAACAGCTCCAGCTTCAACAACATGTCTTGTCTGAGTCTGTGTCCCAGATGCGACGTTTGTTAATGCCCACGCAGCTTCAAACTAGTGACAATGTAAATATTGAATGGAAGCAAGTCATAAAACCAAGTTCAATTTTTGGCAACATTTTACCATATGCCACACCACATAACTGGTATAAAAAACACACCATAAAGATTGGGTATTTATTGGGGACACTACGGGTGTATCTAACAGACCGACACCCATTTTAAACTAAAAACCATGTTCAACTGACAATTTTAAAAAATGTGTAAAAAGCGCACTAAAAAAGAAAAAAGTATGTCTTAACTCAATATGTATGTTCATTATACGTAAAATGTATCTTCTAATTTTCATCTTTCTAACCAGTAAGACTTACATTGAATAAAATAAAGATTTAAGTTACATCATTTTATGAAGAAAATTACCCATGGAACTGATTAATTAAATAGTTCATCAAACATTCCAAAAAAGAGTTTGATACTTTCCATAGATAAAGACCATTCTAATGAAAATGTCTACCTGAAGGACATGATTATCTTCTCTTTGCAAGAATTCAATAAGTCTAGGAATCACTCCACTGTTGACAACTTCCTCAATAGGAGGATTGGGTTCTAGAATTAATAAAATATATTAATTCAACACAACTTCCTCAATAGGAGGATTGGGTTCTAGAGTTAATAAATTATATCAATTCAACACAACTTCCTCAATAGGAGGATTGGGTTCTAGAATTAATAAAATATATCAATTCAACACAACTTCCTCAATAGTAGGATTGGGTTCTAGAGTTAATAAAATATATCAATTCAACCAACTGCTCAACAAATAAGATAGATCAGTTCTAGAGTTGACATTGGTACATCATTTAGGAAATAAAAGATGTTTACTGTGTTTGCACAGACATATGCAAACTGAGGAGACCTTTGGAAGAGCTTGGAGAGCAGATCAGTGCAAGCCCGAGACCAAAGGTCGAGTGTTGCACATGCTTGAGAGTTCTCACAAACGTCTCCAAGGTTTGCATAAGTCAGTGCAAACAAGAAAAACATCTTTATTTCTTTTATAAAATAACAATAATGCTAAAAAGACAAACATTTCAATTTTTCCTCTAAAATGTATTCATGATCAATTTGCAAATTCTCTTTGACTGATTGATTGCTATAATTGATTTGATTGGTTGAGCTCAGATTTATTTTGCACAGGCTAATGCAAACACAGCTCTAGACCAATCAGCGCATGCATTTCATTGTTTATTTTATAATTTAATACAATACAGTTTCTCAATAGCAAGATTGGTTTTTAAAGTTGATTAAGGTACATGAACTAAAAAGAATGAGCTTATCAGTTCGAAGACTGGGGTTAGTTAGTTGCTGTGAGACCTCAAGTGAATATACAATTGGTCTGTCAAGTGGACTGAGCTGATGGTAATAGTTAGATTAAATACACGCACACATTCAAAGAATTAGCAAACACTCTCATTGTCAAACCTTTTGATAAAAGTCTACGCAACTGCTGAGTGACAAGTAGCTGCTCTTCTTCATTTTCTGTGTAAAGTTTTTCAATCATTGACTGCGCCAATGCACTCTGTTGAAGAGTATCGAAGGAGAAACATTGAAATAATTATGGTAACTTTAAAGTTAGATGAAGGACACAGAGTTGATGTTTATTATATGGTCATCTCAAAGAGATACAGAATTATTCATTTGGATCATGAAATTAAATTGAGCAATCTCTGGGCACAGCTGCAAGATAGCTCAAATATGTCTGTTTTTAGTTCCAAGAAACGAAAGAGCAATATATTATGTAAAATTATGCTATCTTTGGATACAATTATCAGAGATTCAAAGTCGTGAATTCAATTGCTCTTTATTTTTGAAAACAATAGCTCGCATAAGGAAAAATCACTTAAATCTGACTAGTTACTTTGTCAGATGATTTGATTCAGATCATTTTTGTCCGATGCAATCGCATATAATTTAACGTGTTTACGAAAATGACTTAGGAAAATGAAATACACTTATAGTTTTAACTTCACAATACATTAAAATGCCTTGAATACATTCATCGGCATCAAAACACCCACTTCATCAAATAGTTTTGATAAAACTAACTCACCCTTGCCGGGTCGTTAAGCAAGGCATCCAATTCGGGAGTTGAAGCGTCAATTTCAGACGATTCGACATTTCGTCGTTTGAAAACCTGCGAATGCAAAACATTTTGGAAAAAATCTTCAGCTATGTCGAATCTTAAATTCTCCAAGAGCAGCACATATAGCATCAAACGAACGAGAAAGAAAGTCATGCTCTATAAATCCGTAAACATATTTGTTATGACCTGTTCTTCGCGTTTAGCTTTCCTCAGTTGAACTCCTTCCTCTTCGCGTCTCCTTCGCAATTCTTCGGCGTCAAGGCCCTTGTTTTTGTATGACTTTATACGAGAATTTTGATTCGCACTCGACATAGTTAATCAAGTGTTCAGGGCAACAAAAATGAAAATACAGAAACGAGGAAATATTTGTTTGGAAATCGACTTTTTAGGCTCTGGCACGCAAGCTGTTTCTTGGGAATATTGATAACGCGCATGCGCAACGATATTTTCCACGGATGGCGTAATTAATTTAATTTCACAATAAATATCTTTCAAATCAAATCAAATCGTCGAGTTTAGGCCATAAGTCTTTTCTTCAAAATTTGTTGCATCAAATTTGAAGAAAACATTTTTTCGAGGCTGATCCCCAGTTTTTTAATTGAATTGCGAAGTCTATCCAGGTTAAGTTCCGATTCTCCGAAAATCTGTGCACTGTATACCTTTGACTAATATTTAATATTTATCAAATTCTTTCCAAAAATTTACACTGATAATTGAAATAATTTCGAGACACGTTTGCTAAGTGGCGTTTTTGTAATATGAAACAGAGACCATCTCATCTTTTTATCGAGTTTATCAAATCAAACTCGTCGTGTTCTCTCCCGTGTGAACTGTTGCATATGGTGAAAAAATTGTATCATTTTTTTTTAAATTGAAATTCTTTCATTTGTTACAACTTCTGTTCGCGTGCCAAGAAAACTTTTATTCATTTTGTTAGAGAAAAAAGTGTGTTAAAACAAATGTTGTCAAATTTCACGTCAACCATTTCAAATGTCGTCACAATCCATTTAAAACCGGGTTCATGTCTATCATCACTAACTCTTTGACTTTGTTGTGAAGACTTTGTTGTGAAGACTTTGTTGTGAAGTTCAGTGAACTTGATTTGCGCGATGCGTTGGAACAAACAATTATGGCTTAAATCGTGGGAATTTCTGGGGCTGTCAACTTAAACTCGCTTGATGATCGTTCAGATATGATTGTAAAGATCGGCGAAAAGTTACTGAACGTGCACAGATTCATCCAATTGGCAAACAATTTACTGTAAGTGTTCATTGCTAACCTGGAGAATATGCAGTCGTTGCTATTTGTGTACGGGACCGTTTTTTGTCAACATTAGTATTACTTTGAGCCGGAATCTGAAAAAATTGTCTTTGACAAAACTTTCCAACTTTGTTAAAATCTCACAAATTCGTTTTAAAATAATCTTATGAATTGATCAACTTCTCTTAAATTGGTCCAGCAAAACTACTTAAAGTTATTGCACTGTATTAGTTATTTTCCGAGCAAATTTGGGCAGTAATATTGGGTACTCGATATTGGTATAATCATCCCTTTTAAGCATTAATTGTCCAATATCAAAATGTGACACATTTTTCCATACTATAAAATACTATTTAAGATTAAAATGCAAAATAATTCAAAGTTGTTTGCATAAATTTATACCATTTCTATACCAGATAGCGGCATGCGAACGTCAAATATGAAAAATCAAAACCTACATGCGTGATTTGTTATCAAGTTTCACATTTGAAAACAAAAGACCGTCTGCTTTATTACCTAGTGTTCTTGAACACACTTCAAAAAAGTCCCGCCAACATGAATAAAAGATCCACGAATTGATAGCGTCTTTATAAAACTGTAAGCCTTATGTATCATTCAAACAGATTTCAGATCGCTTCGCTTGAATAAGCAACGTACGCCAGGAATAGCAGAAGTTGGGAGAGTCGAGAAGGAATATATATTTTGCATTTTTATGCATCAGTTGAATAATATGTCTTGTTCAATGTTTTCAAACCATAATGCATATACATCGTACAAAGGTTATGAATCGTTTAATGCGACAAGTGTTAATGTCAGTCCAATGGGGATAGACAATTCTCTTACATCGACTATACCAGGTTTTCCATCTCAGAATGCAAGTCAACCGAACAGCCTTCATCAGCCTCAATGTCGTTATACGTATGCACTTCCAAACCAAGCATTGAACACTCCAGGTTCCAGTCTCCTGACAAGTCATACATTTTATGATCCAGAATTAGAGGCGCGAGCAAAACAACTACAGGAACTGGAAAGGTGAGAAAAGCTTTCTTTTCTGAATTGCTCATGATCTTTTTCCCTAAGATATTGATGTTCTCTGTTTCCTAAAGAATTCATGTTCACTTTTTCTTAAGACATTCATGTTCTCTGTTTCTTAAAATATTCATGTTCTCTGTTTCATAAGATATTCATGTTCTCTGTTTCCTAAGATATTCATGTTCTCTGTTTTCTAAGATATTCTTTCTTTCTGTTTCCTAAGATATTCATGTTCTCTGTTTCCTAAGATATTCATGTTCACTGTTTCCTAAGGTATTCATGTTCTCACTTTCCTAAGATATTCATTTTCTCACTTTCCTAAGATATTCATGTTCTCACTTTCCTAAGATATTCATGTTCTCACTTTCCTAAGATATTCATGTTCTCTGTTTTCTAAGATATTCATGCTCTCTGTTTCATGAGGTGTTCATGTTCTCTGTTTCCTAAGATATTCATGTTCTCTGTTCCCTAAGATATTCATGTTTCCTGTTTCCTAAGATATCATGTTCTCTGTCTCATAAAAATATAATTTGTTTCTGTAGTAATTACTATTTTCATATGGAACAAGTTTTTTCTGTTTGTGAAGTGAAAATGTTTAAGTTTGTTTGAGTTTATTTCAGTCAAACTTTGTTTCTAAAGATTTGCAAATGAATTCAAACATTGCCGTATCAAATTGGGTTACACACAAACAGGAGGGAGCTGCATTAGCAGCAATCCATGGAACCGACTTCAGCCAAACAACCATATGTCGTTTCGAGAATCTTCAACTGAGCCTGAAGAACGCTTACAAACTGAAGCCGATCCTTACACGATGGTTAGCCGAAGCAGAACGCCAGGAGGCGGACAATGGCGAAGACGATCTCGGACAAGATCGTAAAAGAAAGAAAAGAACGACGATTAGTTTAAACGCAAAGGAAGCGTTGGAGCGACATTTCATCAAACATCCAAAGCCATCATCCTTGGAAATTTACAGAATTGCAGACAGTCTTGGTCTGGATAAGGAAGTGGTCAGAGTTTGGTTCTGCAATCGCAGACAGCGGGAAAAACGCGTAAAAACAACATTGAGCACTGCCATTTCCTTATTTCCACCGATTTTGCATCAACCCACTATTATGTAGGCAAGCATCGACCGCATTCCAAACATAACGACGGCGCAGCTGAAAACCTGAAGTAGCTAACTTGTTGAGAATGGATGTTAATCACTTCTATTAGGAGTCTTGGGACTCTTGGCGTTTCTGCTTATTAATTTTATGGTTATTCAAACAGTTCTGTTTCTAAAATAGAGAAAACTAAAATGGACGAGTTCACAAACTTCAAAAAAGCGTTTAGTTATGCGCAATGAATAAGAGACTTACATGTTGACTGTTGAGACTTACATAAATAAATTTAGCATCAACTAAACTTTCTTTTAAATGCTGTTGATTTGTTTAAACATGTTAACAAAAACTCGAGCAGGGAAGGAGTGAAAGAATGAGCGAGAGATTATTGACTGAAACGGCGCCTCGCACTCATTGCTTGCCTGCCAAAGAGGCATAAACACAATTCAAAGGTATTTTGTGTTTAAGGTTGGCAAAGTGCAATTGGCCACTACATGTATGTCTTGTTATTGTAAAACAAATCCCCCCCGTTCAATCAATAAGAATTTGTATTCTAATCAACAATGTAAACGGTGTTAGTTTTATTGAGGTAAGTATAAAGCATGATAAACAGTCAATGGTCTGTGTTAATAGTCGAGTTCTTTGTTATCAAACTGTTTTTTATTAAGTAATTAAATTTGCACCGTATTGTTATAATTTAATGAACGCACGCGAAATTAGAACTCAGAATGCATTTCAACCAATCAGCACTCAGAAAGCGCTAATATCCAAAATAAAGTCAATTGTACTGCACTTAGTCGATTATGTATGTTTATCTATTCTTTATATACGAAATTTTGTTGCTGTACGTTCAGACATGAAAGCCATAGTTCTTAGATAAATTTCAAACCGAAATTAGTATAATTAAAGAGATATTACAATGTTCTAATCGAGAAATGCATTTGAATTATAGAACTGTTTCCAGTCTTTTTAGGCATTGTCAGATCGCATGTAAAGGATGAAATAAAGTCGTTCAAGGAAATGCGTCCAGCTGAAGATGCGTCCTTTTTCAACCATAAAGTACAAATTAACAGTTTTCATGACGGAAACCCTCAGCTCTGACTACTTTTTTCACGCAGTCTTTTAAGCCAAAAATGAAAAATGTCGATTGTTTTACGGCAGGTGTATGACGCATGCGTATTGCATCTTGAATGTAAAACAAAGAAACGACAACCGTGCTCTTATAAATTATCAGTTTCATAAACCCTATTCGGTGTCATTTTCCAGTTAGCTTTCTATTCACAATTCATCCACTCTCGTTGTGAGTGATGTATTCCTCGTTTGTTTCTGACTGTTTCATTTTAACGGTAGATAGCTGACATTCTCGACTGACTTACTTACTTTTCGATAAAACTCATTTATCCTACCCTCGATGTTATTACCGTGTTCCAAAGCGTTGTTTTCGGATCCTCGTCTCGCAAGTAACTTAGGAACCATCAAAGTATCCTTAGATCTCCTGCGATCCTCTGCCCCGATGGGTATAGTTATGCATTCTTGTAGTGGATTAGTTGGAGATAGCGAGGATCTTCGTTTGTCCATGGAAGAGCGCCTGCCCGGCAAAAATCTTGCGTCTGACTTTGTAGAAATTGGAGGAAAAGAACTATTCAGTTGAATACCACTTTGCCTCCTTGCAAATCGAGGCGTCAACGTTTTCCTATCGCATAGCGACAACGGTGCTTGTAAATCATGGGAATCCATCGTTCGAAATCTTGAAAACTCGCCATCTTCCTTCAATTCTTTGCGCAGCATGTCTTCTTCGTGTCTGTAGTGTCTTGTTAACTGATCCTTTACGTTATCTATTCGGTCCAACTCGATTTTCAACCGCCTCCCAGACATGGCGTTCTTCCTTAGATTTTTATCGTCGTATTCCGATCTTGTATTTGCCATACTTTTTCTCAACTTATTACGTATATATTGCCCGAAAATTCGATTAATTTTTTTAAAGTTTTTTCATAAACATACCATCGATCAGAAGATCGAGATATTTTAGGCAAACTTTGACGGTTTCAATTTTATATGCACTGCAATCAAGAATGAAATTTGCAATGAAAATGGACGAAATGAAACATAATTTTGTTGTATTGACAAATTTGCTTCACAAATATATGGGCATTAATAGGAAATGCTAATATTTACCCATCCACCTGCAACTCACGTCCGTGCGCCTTTTGAACAAATACAGCTTTCGAACAACTTCCAAAATTAATTCTACGAATGAATTCTTACATGATAAAACTTCGAACCATTTTGGCAAGTTTCGGAATGTTTGAAAAAAACCTTTTTATGAAATATGAAAATTTTTGATGAAAAAGTGTTGCAATTACTTTGTCAACAAGAGTTACGCGGCAAATTTGCATTAGTTGAATGAATTTATAATATCACATTGTTAACAGTTACATATATTTGCCATCTTTCATGGATTGATCACATAGTGTTGACTGAGCGACACGTTAAGCAATGTTACTTTACGGATGAAAAAGAAGAAATCTAAGCGGTCGGTGCCGTCTAAATCACCTGAAGCACTTCGGTATATTTTTGTCCCCAAGTTTTCACAATTTGTCTCCAAGCTATTGTCGTAGCTTCCACTGCATTTGTAGTCAAACATTAAATACCCAGTACCCTGCTCAACCAACTCAAACCCAGTACTCTGCTCAACTAACACAAACACAGTCCCAGGCTCAACTATCGCACACCCAGTACCCTGCTTAAACATAGCCTATGCCAACACGTTCACACGTTAGTTAGATAACTAGAGGCTTGGGTTCTAAATAATTGAGAACGAGAAATTTGGGTAACGATGGTACTGGATACGAGTGTTTTCATGTGACGTAAAAGCGGCCATATTGGAGCATCCAATCAATATTACGTAATTTCCTTTTATTATATAGGATATTTAACAAACATGGCGACCGATGAAAACAGCCTACAGGGGACGAGAGAGTTGAAAATCATAGGCAGTGGGTAAGAGAAATTTGAATATTTATTTTATCAAAAGTATTGGGTACAAGAAATCAGTAATATCAATTTTAATAAGTAAGGTTTGCAACATCAACTTTGATATGTTTTACGACGGCAAAGATTTTATTAATCTTGTTGATTGTAATCTTTCACACTAAGATTGATGATTTCGTTCTTAAGGGCAGACAACAACGTGGAAGCGCGTTCAGTCAAACTCGAACGTCTGTTATTTTGTTCACAATCTAAAGTTTTCCCTTCTTCATGTGATAACTTGTTATCGATGTGAGCCGTCGTTGTATCATGGTCAGCGTCAATGACATGCAGAGATGTTTCGCTATGGTTACAAGGATTTTCATCAATAGACCTTTCACCATTATCAAATATTCTTAAATTGACCTCGGTGTTATTAAAATCCTTCGTTGTTGCTAATTCAACCTTTCCATCAAATTTCACTGACCCTATATGATCCTGTGCATCCTTCACATCACCGTACTCAATACATGTCGCTATACTACTGTTATCAAAGTTCCCTATACTCCTTGACATTTCATCGTGGTCATCCACTGTCAAAACTACGTGTGTAAGTTGCTTTTTATCCTCAATGCTTTCCATATCTTTCTCCACATTATCCATATTGCTCACTCTATCGCCAATCTCAATTACAGCTACGCTATCCTCGCTGTAATGATCGTCAGATTGCACCACATCATACACATTATCACTTTCACGATTATCACTACCATCCTCTATGTCCCTCACGTAATCATCAGTGCTCCCTACAATCATCTCTATACTGCTTTCACTATCCTTCATACGGCCATCCAATGAATGATTCTCAGACTGAATATTTCCTACTTTACTCAAATTTCCCTCAAAACATCCTTCCATATCCTCAGTCTGCATTGAAACAAACTCAGCATTGCTATCGCCATCTTTCAATTGATCCTCAACGATGCTTATAGGTACATCGACGTCCCCATTCTTGCGGGACATTTTATCAATATCAGTGATATTACTCAGGCTTACGACGTCTATGACGTTGTCCGATACCTCTTTCACCATGGAAACATCGCCAACATGGCTTCCATCATTCCTTTCAGCATTTTCTTCATTCATCTCCTTGTTTAGCGTTTGCTCAATAGAAGATCCTTCGCTATTCTTCATTGACTCTAAACTTTCTTCATTTGCATCTGGGATTACAGTTTCATCCTTTGGCAATTTCCTATCGGTGTCGATAGTTTTTAACAAATCACAAACATCGACCGTCGCGTCGAATTCTTTGGACTCTATCATGCTCGATCCATCATTATCCTCTGTAAATGCTGCAATACCGCTGCTAGACTGAGAATTAAGATGATCGGATGAATCTTGGAATGTTTTTGTATCCTCAAAACAATCACCATTATCCTCGAGTGTATTGCCTTCGTCAGGGCTACCTGCATCCATATCCACGTTATCCCCCTCTATCAACACATGACTCTCGTCTATATTATCATGTTTGACAACATCCACCACCATAGTTGATGTATCGTTCTCATGTACATCAAAAGAACTCTCGTAGATTTCTGACATGTCCTTCGCTGGACCTGTATTATCAAACTTTATCCAACTCTTATCCACAATTGTCCCAATCTCCTCCGCTTTATGATTTTTTGAATTATCCACGTTGTTCCCATGAAATCCTGTTTTCGCTGCATCAAAAACATCGAGTTTATCGTCGCTTGAATTTTTACCACATTTCCTAGATGTGCTGTCAAGTCTCAAGCCATCCATCTTCATTCTCTTTGTTAAAGCTATCTCTGAATTATGGGTAAAACTTTGGCCGGAAATGTCATTGGTGTTTTTATTCAGTTCTGACATTTTCGAGAATCGAGGATGAGGATAAAATACAGGATCCACATCTGAGTCTGAATGTAAACATGTACAATATATAAGGTAATATAATGGTTATATTCTTAAAAAAAAACAAGACAAGATGCGCACTTTTGAAAATAAATAAAATGATATCGCCATCACATTACAAAACCACATCACTACTCACTGGGTACGACATTAAAATCATGTTGCCACCTCTTTTTCAATTAATGGCACGATTTTTGCTCAACTACTACAAAGTAAGTATTTAGTGGAGTGAAAATAACGCCTTCGAATAGTTTTTGAGTGATTTTCAAGTCTCAATCAGCGAGTGCTGGTGTGAGCGACACTGTCGAATACGAAATGAGCGACAAACGTTGCCCAATAAAGTGAATGGTTTGAACACGGGAGTATCGTTACATGTTTGTAAATGTAGATCGTCCAGGTTGGTATAGTCCTGAAGGACTGTTTTGTTATTGTTGACTGACGTTTCGACAGCCTTAGCGGTAGTCATCTTCAGAGTCGAAACGTCAGTCAACAAAACAAAACAGTCCTTCTCAGGACTATACCAGCTGATCTACATTTACAAACATTAAACGTTGCCCAAGTCCTAAAACTTTAATGCTCCATACAACTCAATGCAGGTCATGAAAAACTCTTACCTTTACATTTCATCTTTGGTTTACACTCTTCGTCGTTAACTATGTCAAATTTGTCAACTTTTTCTGTAACTTTCTCAAGCTACAGTACAAAATAAAACATTTAAAAACATCTTTGTATGAAGAATCATCCTAAAAAACTGGCCACGTTTATGGATGAGAGAGGATGGCAATTATAATCGTAAATAAACAGACATTACAACTAACCTTACAACAGAGTAGGGAAATTATTTCCAAGAGTCTGGAAGTTTCATTTTCATGTTCTGTATTTTTTCTATATAATTACAACAAGTTTCCATAATTGTCATGCACAACAAGTTTCCATCATTGTCATGCACAACAAGTTTCCATCATTGTCATGCACAACAAGTTTCCATCATTGTCATGCACAACAAGTTTCCATCATTGTCATGCACAACAAGTTTCCATCATTGTCATGCACAACAAGTTTCCATCATTGTCATGCACAACAAGTTTCCATCATTGTCATGCACAACAAGTTTCCATCATTGTCATGCACAACAAGTTTCCATAATTGTCATGCACAACAAGTTTCCATCATTGTCATGCACAACAAGTTTCCATAATTGTCATGCACAACAAGTTTCCATCATTGTCATGCACAACAAGTTTCCATCATTGTCATGCACAACAAGTTTCCATCATTGTCATGCACAAAAAGTTGCCATAATTGTCATGCACAACAATATTTCCAAAGGTGAAATCATACTTTTGAATAACCATACACAAGGTGCATATATATTTCTGTAATCTTTTCACACGTATCTCATTCCTCAAACTCAATCCTCTTGCACTGTACTTTCGAAAGTAATAACCTCTCCTGAAAAATATTTTATTGAGTAGAAGTTATAAACATTTGATTTAAAGAATATCTTTATGAGTGACAATATTATTAGTATGTAAGTATAATACCCACAAACTATTAAAAACAATTATAAATATTACAGAAACAACATTATCATTTCAACAAGATCAAAGTAACATCCATGTGATGTCTGATGAGCATTGTCATAACTTGGTACATTTATGGATAGAAAAGGATGTTGTCAAAACAACTGTGTTCAATAGTATACTCTAGATGTAACATCCATGTGATGTCTTATGAGCATTATCACAACTTGGTACACTTCAGGATAGAAAGGGATGTTTTCGATACAACCATGTTCAATAGTTCACTCTAGATGTAACATCCATGTGATGTCTTATGAGCATTGTCATAACTTGGTACATTTCAGGATAGAAAGGGATGTTGTCATTACAACTGTGTTCAATAGTATACTCTAGTTGTAACATTCATGTGATGTCTTATGAGCATTGTCATAACTTGGTACATTTCAGGATGGAAAGGGATGTTGTCGTTACAACTGTGTTCAATAGTATACTCTAGTTGTAACATTCATGTGATGTCCGATGAGCATTGTCATAACTTGGTACATTTCAGGATAGAAAGGGATGTTGTCGTTACAACTGTGTTCAATAGTATACTCTAGTTGTAACATTCATGTGATGTCTTATGAGCATTGTCATAACTTGGTACATTTCAGGATAGAAAGGGATGTTGTCGATACAACTGTGTTCAATAAAACTGTGTTTGATACAACTGTGTACAACTGTATACTCTAGTTGACATATTTGGATCAAAAACAGAAAATTCCCCTTATAATGTGTGTCTTTCAAAGAATAATAAAGCTTTCAGAAAAATGTGCGACATGGGAGTTTTAAGATCCTACAAACAAAGATTTTTATGAAGGCTTCCCCCCCTACACACAGTGGAACATTGATAATTGGGGGGGCTATACTCATATATTCATATGTTATAATCCGTAACCACAACTGATTTCAATAGAAACTAATAAAGTAAAACATGCATATATGAATAATAGCCCCACCCCCATGCCCCAAGAGACACCCTAAGCTTTAACTCCCCCCCAGAAGTGCCACATCTTTTAATTTTCCCCTCCCCAGTCCTACAAACTGGCGAGGCCATTGGTGTTGATATATAAATACATGAAGATATATTATGATGAAGCATGTCATGCAAAACTTATTGGACTAAGAAAAATTATTTTTTTCATATTCATACCAAGCAGCCTGTATTTTCATAGCAGCAACATTTAATCTCTTGTACTCCATAAAATTGAATCTGCGACGGACTAAAAATCCTCTAATTTGAGCTTGAAGGATTGTTGCAGCCAAGTTAATGAGCTTGCTCGCTTCTTCTTCGGTCATCATAGGAAACTCGTTTTCAACATTGGTTCTACAATCACTCGCGTTTTTGGCATTTTTCGAGTAATCGCCCATTAAATAACTTTCAAGTTCTTCTATGTAAAATAATGAGAGAGAAAAATGAAATTATTACCTTTTAAGATGGTTTTACCAAAGACTTACATATCATCTGTGAAAAGGCAGGACAACTAGGGCGATGCAAAAATTCAATGATTTATGTTTGAGAGGGCTGAATGCGGAGGAAAGAGGAATACTTATGTCGGTAATGAAGATTTCAATCATAACGACAGTTAACAGACGTTAAAAATTAACTTCATACTTTGATGATCCCCCAGCGAATTCTTCAGCGGAGAATAAACAGGCAGAAAGGTCGAATCCGACCTTAATGTATCTAAATCACTGTCTAAAATGAAGAATATTCATAAAATACTCAATGAAAGCTATAGAGTCTTGATATTAAAGATTCAGAGTACAAAGTGCTTCGTTAACCACGTACCATCGCTTGAATTGCTGTAGCTTGATAACTTTGTTGAATGCATTGTAATTTTATTTCAATTGCAAAACGTTCTTTCCTTTTAAAGGTGAATTTTTAAAATTACGATATCAAGTACAAACGTAGTAAAGGAAATCATTCAATACTCAAGTCATTATATTAATTACACTTCATTGTTTTGAATATTACATGAGCAGAAACATGACAGACTTGGATAGACTCAATACAATCCGCCAAAAGACTATAATCGAAATGACCTAAATGTAGGTGGTTAAAGCCAGGTGGTTAACAATGTAAGACAGCCCCAATTAAAATGAAGTTTGTGCAAACGATTATATGTTTTGGCCTAACTCGAGGCAAAGTAGCCGCAATAAGTTTAGTAAGTATACGTCGTAGGCTCGTAGCTAGCCTGCATTGGTATCCATTTTTTAAAAAACAATGATTTATGCAAGGAAACGTGTTTTATTTGGAGGTGCAACAGATTTAGCAAAGGGCAATAACCAAGTTTAGTGCATCTTACGATTAGCATCATGCCATGATCTTGTCATAAGACTTTCTTTTTCAAACACAAGGCTGTCATGCAAATATTTGATCTCGTAATGAATATATTATGTATAAAGTAGTCACAAGCAATTTGTTTACGAGCAACCTTCCACTGTGCATCTTATCTTGAACAAGTCTATTATACCAAGGTAAGACTTGTATTAGGTATGGATTTCTGCTTGTATTAGGAATGTATATGGATTTCTCTTTAAATTAAATGAAACTATTTTCCTATGCTGCAATTCATTCTATAAAAGTGTTATTTTGCAAATAAAGTTTCTTGTCATGGTTAATAACTATTTTGAATATTTTTTGACATACTTTACTCAAATTGGAAAATACTATCATACGGTTTTACTTAACCCGACTAGAGTCACTAGATGTTATTCTTCCATGTCAAATTTTGTATTTTTGCAATTGAATTTGTTAGCTAGGAGCTAGGGCCACAAATAAAATCAAAGCTCATTTTCCAAAGTTTGTCAAGAACGGGCGGTCTTTTAAATTTTGATATTTTAATGGTTATTTGTCGTTGCTTTTTATATATCATACAAAATTAGTCAAATTAAACATTGAACTACAAATCAACATTTTAGAAATTTCGTATATCTTAGTGCTTGCACAATAATGATTTAAATCTCAAGACACTCGTGTCATGCCGTTGCCAAACTTTTCCATGGCTAACAGGAATTCTACGCGATATGTGTAGACCAACTGAGTACATCTGTAGCATTCTGCCAGGGGAAAGGATTAAATATTGCTGTCATCCAAGATGAATATAGTATTCATATTAAAAGTAATTATCATTTTATATCCTCATTGATTGATGGTAGAAGAATGCAATTTTGTTTCTTTGTAATTAAAAATGATCTTTGATTTGTGTGTGTGTGTGTGTATCTTGAAAGTGTGACATTAACAGCTGAAAACTCATATGTGGGCCATAATATAAACACTGAAAAACTGCTCTTTATACAATATGTCCTCAAAAGTTGACTATTAAATAATGTAAATGGCTTTAATCGTCGTCAACATGCTTCGAATCATTCGTATTTTCATTGGTCAGAGAGCCCTCTTCCAACAGTGAAACAAAATGAAGCATGAAAGAGGAGAAACAACGACGCTAGGTTTAAGATAGCTTGATGAAATTGAACGTAGATGAAGCACTTAGCGTACGCTCGAGATTTTTGGATGTTTCAATTTCAAGTATTTCTTCTACTTCATTCGACGAATTATAAAATCTGTCATATATATTAGAGCATTATTTGTGCACAAAATATGCAGATACAAAGGTATACAGAAAAATACAAATACCTGTGACATTGTCACGGAAATTACGAATGGCGTAACTAAGTGTTGATACGCAATTGTAGAACAAAGAGCATGTCAATAATATATGATTAAAAATTTGCTGAGCGCATATACAAGCACCAATTTCAGAGATCGCTTCATCACAAATTAATTGAGAATAAATCTGAGCATGCTTGGTCAACTCCACCAACTCTCCAAGTTCATGGTCAAGGCAAAGACGAACTGTATGTACAAGTACCGATTATGGAGAAATAAGCTCGCTCAGTCTCAAATTTTCAGATACCACAACTTTTGTAAGGCCTTTATATGTATATGTATCTTAAAACTACCCTCAATATTTTAACATCAGACAATTAATGTTGAGTTTTGATTAGTGATGCAGAGATTTAGTAAATTCAATTGGAACAATAAAGTTGGGGCTTCTCATTGGCGAATTACAAGTTGTGACGTAAGAACAAGAACTGAAGAGAAAAGATAAAAGATAAAACAATATACATTGATGTAAATGAGCTGCAAGTTGTAAAGTAAGTTCAAGAAATGAAGAGAAAAGATAAAACAATATACATTGATGTAAAGGAGCTGCAAGTTGTAAAGTAAGTTCAAGAACTGAAGAAGAAAGATAAAAAATAAAACAATATAGATTAATGTAGAAAAACAAACCAACAAAACTCATAGCTTTTCAATGAACAAATGAAGATGAACATAAATCTGTTTTCATCTGCTCTATTTTCTCTTCAGAACTTAAAGAGTTTGTTTGTACAAAACAATTTTTTGTTTGACCACTAGCAGTGGCGAATTTAGGTTACGTCAAAACAAATAACAGCAGCTCATTTTTGGAATCATTTATAAAATAAGGAATGAATTAATAAAAAAGGTTATTACAGGCTGACTAAAAATTTCAGCTTCCTAAAACAAAAACAATTTTCTATTGATATTGAGCTCGTAATACAAGGTTTTTTGCATCTATTTATCAATATTTACTACGTGGTTTTTCTATCTAATAATGAAAAATTCGTTGAACCAACTAACGGCAAAGAAAGATGAGTTGAAGAACTAGGAGAAACACGAGAAGTTTGTCGTATGTGTCTTTCATATTTATTTCAACTAAAGCCAAAATTTGTCAAAAAACCTAATTTGCTAAACCATTTTACATTAAGCAATTAGTTTAGCGATATTACAGCCTCGTACCCAGGCGTTTTGATCCCTTGAATTATTTGATATTTTATAAATTGAATGTCACATGGCGTGTGTATGCTCCACCGAAATTTTCTCGTTTTTTTGTTCACGCATGTTGTCTTGCAGTGCTTTTTCACCAAATAACAAAATATCAAGTTTTAGTATTTATTTTTGAAAAACAGAAGTTTTCGCAGAGGATTTTTTCATTCTGAGGAGCTTAAACTGCGCACATGCTTTGTCGAGAAGTAATATTTTACCATTAACCAAATTAATAAAAATCCTTAATTATCAGACTTCCACATAAAGTCCCAGAAAAAGTACTATGGACGAGGAAGGAATTCAAGGAAAACCTTAAATTTCTAAACTAAATTTATGACATTTTTCAAACGTACGCGTTGCGCATCTATGTTTTACACATTTTTAGGAAGCTTCGTGCGCTTGCGCAGTTTGTAGATAAACATTTCGTCTTTAGTAAATGTTATTGTTTTTATAGCAATTCTTGATATTCTGCAAATGTATGGTAGCAAAGAAAAGCGAAAAGCAGTGAGAACTGATGCAGGTGAAAGTGCAAATCCTGTACAACAGCATGCATTCCTTACGGATCCTAGCGAAGTTAAGCGAATGGAGAAGGATTTATTAGATCTTATGAGAGATTTCAATGATGGAAAATTGCACGCATTTGGTATGGTTGTTATTATCAAAATATGCGAAAATTCCTGAGAAATGATTGATAGTCTTCTGAAACGATCTTGGAGTTTACATAGTTATATCAACTAAAGATCAAATATCAGATCACTCCGGATGAAGACACTAGACTGGAGTATATGAGAACTCTAGTTTCAACATCAGATCACTCTTGATGGAGACAGTAGACTGGAGTTTATAAGGACTCATGTTTAAACATCAGATCACTCCTGATGAAGACACTAGACTGGAGTATATAAGAACTCAAGTTTCAACATCAGATCACTCCTTATGAAGACACTAGACTGGAGTATATAAGAACTCAAGTTTCAACATCAGATCACTCCTGATGAAGACTCTAGACTGGAGTATATAAGAACTCAAGTTTCAACATCAGATCACTCCTTATGAAGACACTACACCGAAGTATATAAGAACTCAAGTTTCAACATCAGGTCACTCCTGATAAAGACACTAGACTGGAGTATGTAAGAACTCAAGTTTCAACATCAGATCACTCCTGATGAAGACACTAGACTGGAGTATGTAAGAACTCAAGTTTCAACATCAGATCACTCCTGATGAAGACACTAGACTGGAGTAGATAAGAACTCAAGTTTCAAGATCAGATAACTCCTGATGAAGACACTAGACTGGAGTATGTAAGAACTCAAGTTTCAACATCAGATCACTCCTGATGAAGACACTAGACTGGAGTATGTAGGAACTCAAGTTTCAACATCAGATCACTCCTGATGAAGACACTAGACTGGAGTATGTAAGAACTCAAGTTTCAACATCAGATCACTCATGATGAAGACACTAGACAGGAGTATGTAAGAACTCAAGTTTCAACATCAAATCACTCCTGATGAAGACACTAGACTGGAGTATGTAGGAACTCAAGTTTCAACATCAGATCACTCTTGATGGAGACAGTAGACTGGAGTTTATAAGGACTCATGTTTAAACATCAGATCACTCCTGATGAAGACACTAGACTGGAGTATATAAGAACTCAAGTTTCAACATCAGATCACTCCTTATGAAGACACTAGACTGGAGTATATAAGAACTCAAGTTTCAACATCAGATCACTCCTGATGAAGACTCTAGACTGGAGTATATAAGAACTCAAGTTTCAACATCAGATCACTCCTTATGAAGACACTACACCGAAGTATATAAGAACTCAAGTTTCAACATTAGGTCACTCATGATGAAGACACTAGACCGGCATATATAAGAACTCAAGTTTCAACATCAGGTCACTCCTGATAAAGACACTAGACTGGAGTATGTAAGAACTCAAGTTTCAACATCAGATCACTCCTGATGAAGACACTAGACTGGAGTATGTAAGAACTCAAGTTTCAACATCAGATCACTCCTGATGAAGACACTAGACTGGAGTATATAAGAACTCAAGTTTCAACATCAGATCACTCCTGATGAAGACACTAGACTGGAGTATGTAAGAACTCAAGTTTCAACATCAGATCACTCCTGATGAAGACACTAGACTGGAGTATGTAAGAACTCAAGTTTCAACATCAGATCACTCCTGATGAAGACACTAGACTGGAGTATGTAAGAACTCAAGTTTCAACATCAGATCACTCATGATGAAGACACTAGACTGGAGTATGTAAGAACTCAAGTTTCAACATCAAATCACTCCTGATGAAGACACTAGACTGGAGTATGTAAGAACTCAAGTTTCAACATCAGATCACTCCTGATGAAGACACTAGACTGGAGTATATAAAAACTCAAGTTTCATGAGCAAGAAATTAATAAAAGTGTTTAACCATATTACATTGTTTCTAGGTAAGGAACAAACTCTTGACAAAATGGACAAAGTTCGTGAATCACAGGAATCTTTAGCTCAACTACATTTTGAATTGGATGTTGATGAATCACTTCGGTAAGTAAGGCATTGTTGAAACAAAATTTTTGAAATAAAAACACTTTTTTCATGTATTCACTGTTCATATTGATTTAACTCAAACTGGTTTTAAATATCCATGGTTTGAGGTTCACCCTCAGTTTTGGGTTCAAAACATCACTATTTCATAAGCAATAAAATTATATGCAAAATGTAGAATTGCAAGTAAAAAATTTTAGTACAAAAATTCATAGGCTGTAATGTTTTCTCAGTGACTATAAAGTTTGTTCATTAACTGTGTAGAGCTTTCCACTGGCTGTAGAATTTGTTCAATGGTTTTAGAGCTCAGTGGTTGTAGAGTTTGTAAAATTTTGCTCATGTTTTTAGAAAAGAACACGAAGAAGTGGGAAGAAATCGTAATCTTGAAAAACTCATGAAAGATGTGAGTATTTTAAGGATAGTAACATCAGCAACCGTACTTTTAAAGTATTGCAAGAACAAATGTACGTACATATCAAGTCCTGACAACTTTTTCCAAGTCTTCAGTTGAGTAGAAATCTTTGAAAGAACCGTCTTTAAACAAACGTTACTTGAGAGGTGGTGAGAGACTGTTTTCATTTATTCTGTTATGCCAGGCTGATTTCTTATGAAAGTGACATCGTTTTGAAAGAAATTAGTCAAGCATAGTAGGATGTATGTTAACATTCGCTTGACGCCATGCTTGAAAGATATTGAAATGAAAAAAGTTCATCAACGGTACTGCTCGACTGGTTTTCAGTCCTGAATTCTAATCAGTTGCCTTCCATTGCTGGCTCAAATCAACTGTCAGCATGTAACAATAAATATAAATACATGAAACGCTACCTGTAATAGAAATGCCTATTAAAAAAAATAAAGCCAAATTTTATACCCAGCCACGCGAGGATTTTGGCGTGTTTTTGTTTCTTGGATGTGTTTTTTGTTGCGTGGAAAGACTGGTAACGACACCCATCATGTTTGTTATTTTATGAAACTACATCCACAGTTACTTACTTTTTCTCATTTTTTGAGGAAAATGATACACATCTCATTCCTCTTGAGTTTTTTTGGTGTATCTGTGTAAAGTGTGAATGTCAGTGGTTTAGTGGGTAGCCAGCCTGCATTTTTAGTCGTGCTAAGTAAATATTTATCTTTTTACTCACTGTAAAAACAATGTATTTCTAAAGAAGTAAATAACGATCATGCAAAATTTACCTGCGCAAAATAATCTTTTCAAAGTGTTTTTTGAATGATTTTATGAGATGAGAAATTAAGAATACAGAGACTTGCCTAGCCTAAAATATGTTTTCTTTTTTATTTTCAGCTTGAAAAGTTAAGCTTATCGATGTATCCTTTTACGCTGCTGTTCAAGCATAAAGCTTCACTCAATCTTAGTTATTCTGCATTTAAAATCACTGGCATAGCCACCCTGCAAGATTACCATTCTACTCATTTCAGAAAATCATTATTCAATTCAAGTCCCTGCAATCAATGCTGGTGATGCATCAATTTCTTTAAGCGCACATGTATGTGCATGCCTTGAAACAAGTTTTTGATTTCACCCCGTTGAATTATACTTTAAGTATACTAAACAGATACTTCTGAGGGAGGGGGGGTGTAACCGTGATTTGTGGGTAGCGCCAGTCCTTTTAAAAACTATTCAAAAATTATCCCCTTAGGTTTTTGTTTATTTGCAAAAAACCTCTTAATTTTTAAAGCGGGGGGGAGGGGGGAAGGGAGGGGGAGTGAGGAAGGTTGAAAAATTTCAATGTATACTTGGCTTTGACCAATCATGGGACAAAAGTGTAGGAGTTAGCGTTCCAGATGTAGGAAGCGTTTAGTTTTATCGTCCTCCGTTCTATTTTATCCATGACTAGTTATTGTCAGACAAAATCTTCATCAAAACGATCAAAGCTAAGTTAGGAATTGCTTTTTTTGGCCTTATTGTCCTTAGAAGAAGTTTGCTGCAACTTTTCGACATCAAACGTTATAAAAAGTGCGTAAAAATTGTGAATATTTGAAAATGAACATCAATGATCGAAACCTGAGGACAGTGGTTCCAATAAATTTATTGTCAAAATTCATAGATGGCAAAGAAAACTTGACTTGTTGTCCCTTTAAGTAATACTTCAAATTAATTGATCAATTGACTAATTATAGAAAACATTTATTAGTAAAATTAAGTTTTTTAACTGTATCTGCCATTCGTCTATGTAAAATGCAAACTGTCAGAGTAGCCGTTTCAGTTAGTTTGATATGTGATTTTTCACATGACACATGACATAGCCTTGTATTTAGTCCGAGACGTACTAAAAATTTGACCTAAGGTTACGACATTTAAATTGCGTTATAACCGGAAGTCAAAATTGGTTGTCCAAAATCTACGCATATTCATTTATAACTTTAATTTTAATATTTATAGTCTAACACATAATCGTTAATGTTGCAAAGTATTGAAACAATCGCACGACTATACATTATTTTAACACGTTTTGAAGCTGGGCCTTTCACCGGAAGTGATATTTTATGAATATGAGGTGCTAAAATTAGCATTTTTTAAACAGCAGTAACTCAATCACCATTTAAGATATTAACTTCAAACTTTTCATGTGTCATTTATCTATCATTTGTGTAAAAATAAGCAAAATAGAAAGTTTAGGGCTACAACCGTCTGATGATTTGACGTGGAATGACTCTATTGTATGTTGTTGACTATACATGAACTAAAGTAAATGGTGTGAACCCGGGAGTATCGTTACATGTTTGTAGATGTAGATCGTCCAGGTTGGTGGAGTTCTGAGAAGGACTGTTTTTGTTGTTGTTGACTGACGTTTCGACAACCTTAGCGGTAGTCATCTTCAGAGTCAAATGAGGTCGCTCTTGACTTTCGCTAAGGTCATCAAAGCGTCACTTAACATCAACATCAACAGTCCTTCTCAGGACTCTACCAACCTGGACGATCTACATCTACAAACATGTATACATGAAGTAGTTGCTTACGTGAATAACAGAATAGACAGAATAGGCAGTTTACTAGTCTTGTAAAGAATTATCTAGAGAAACATTCATCACAACGAGGCTTGAAAATCTTTTTCTCCTATCGACTTTCACCTGAGAGGTATGGTTTGATGGTTGACATGATTTATAACGATTGTACTGAAGAGAAAAGTGGAACATAATTTCCATAACTTCGTGCTGTATATTGTCAGTCTCTGTACATTAAGAGGCATGGTTTTTTAAATGTAGGTGCCAGTTCGCAAGTTATTTCGTGCTATGTAAATATGTCTGCGTTCATTCACTACACGAAAAATAGATTTCTAAAGAAAAAAAAATGACAATCTTCTGTAATTCACATTGCGCGACCAAACTCGCTGCGTTATTGTCTGTGTATATTTTATGTATTTACCAGCTCGATAATTCTCGATAAATACCGAGCAAGTGAGGTTTGTAAAAGGTATGTACATTATATGTCATGAGACATTTGTATATTTTCTGTTTGCTTTAGAACTTTAGAATTCCTTTTTTGTAATGGAACGCTAAATATGTGTTCAAGCCAAGCAAAGTAAAACGTTGAAATTGTTTTTTCTTAAACGTAAACTGTAACAGCTTAAGTCGAATCCAAACCCCAAGAAGTGGTGGGATTCTATTAAAGCCTTAACTGGAAACACAAAAAAATCCCAAATCTCTACCTGCCTTATCAACAATGAAATTTACTCTGGAAAACCTTTAGCGGATAAAACAAATGACATTTTCTCGACTGTAACACAGCATATTGCCCCCTTGCAACCCACTCCTGTGAATGTAGAACATGAGTTTAATTCATTATTTATCATTAGTGAAGAGGATGTTTACAAAAAGCTTATATGTTTAAATTCCGGCAAATCTCCTTGCCCGGAAGACTTACCAAACTGGATGTTTAAAGTATGTGCAACTGCCTCGCTGCCCTAACTGCTTCAATATTCGACGAGTCTATTCAAACAGCAAATGTACCTAGTAAATGGAAACAAGCTGACATAGTTCCGATCCTTAAAACTCCAAAACTAAATAAGACCTCCATTCAATCTCTTCATTTTGAACTCTATCTAAAATTTGTGAACGTTTTGTAACTGAATGTGTTTTTGATTCGATATGGGATGTCATTGATCTAAAACAATTTGGATCAATTCTGAATTCTCCTTAACAGTTTCGTTCACCACCTGCTTTGTAAAACCAACAGAGCCTGTAACTCAGTGCGAGTTTTGTTGCTAGATTTTGCTTGAGCTTTCAATCTTATTGACCACAACATTTTACTGAAGAAGTTGGAAAACATGAAAGTCTCTGATAAAATAAAGAACTGGGTAAGAAACCTCATAACTGGAAGAAAACAATGCGTGAAACTAAACGATTGCCTCTCTGAATGGTGAACAATCAACGGTGGTATACCCTAAGGGGAACAGTTTTGAGTCGGGTACTTTTCATAAAAATGATCTACGATTTTTTAGACTATTGTCCGGATTGATGGAAATTTGTCGATGACTGTACTGCTTCTGAAAGCATCCCACATAATTACAGCAGCAATTTACAAAACGTCTTTAATGAAATCAATGCCTGGACATCCCAAAACAAAATGAAACTCAACGTATCTAAATGCAAAGAACTAGCATTTCCATGGAACAGGTGGAATAGAGGGAACACATGGAGAAGGGGAAACAGGTAAAACAGGGAGAACAGATGGAACACGTGAAACAGATGGAGCATGTAGAATAGGTGGAAATGATGGGATGTGTGAAGTATGTGGAACAGTTGGAACAGAAAAACAAGTGGAATAGGTAGAACTGCAAGTTCCAATGATTTCACCAAAATGTTGCAACTGTACAAGAGAAATGAACACCTACTTTACGTATTAGGAGGTTTCATATCTTAACAGAAATAATATTGCAACAATTTATAGGTAATGGTAATGTAACTTGCCTTCCTAAGCTAGCTAGTTGATACTCTTAGCAAATTCCACATTCTCGTCTAGATGTTCCCCTTGTTCGTTAAAAGTCGTTTAGATTCATAATACTTTGTTGTTTTAATAAATAACATTTCCAAGAGCTTATTTAAGATGGCAAACATTTAATATGTTCAGGACTAGACAAATTTTTCTGTATTTTATGAAGTTTGTAAGTAAAAAATGGCTTAGTTGTACTCTCTTTTGTCAAAAAATCTCGACAACTTCATGAAACAATTCAAAGCATAGAAATTATTTTCACATTTTACATGACACACTCTAAGGACGTGTAAAAAACGACATTGTTTCGAAGATTGAACTACTATAGAATAATGCTTGGAATTTAAATGGATAGACACTTAGAAGTCATTTCAGCATCTTTAAGATTAAACCTTCGAATTAGTAATTACTGGTGACCAAAATTGAGTTCTATAATAACTGGAGCGACTAAGTGGACTGGGAACTGCTTTGATAAAATGGAGGCCAAAGGACCTATTTCCGCTGAAATGTTCGTTTTGCAGGAAAAAACTTGTCCCGACCTCCCCCTGGTATCTACAGTGAATCATATAGAATTTTTAAAAAACAAACAAGATATATTTTTGGCATTTGTTTTACAAAGCCAACACTTCCATTGTTCAATTGATGGATCTTGTAGTTTCTACAAAAAGGACCATCTCGCTTTGTTCATCAACGATTGAAAAGCAATTATACACTTAAAAAGCGATAAAACCCGTATGATCGTATTTTTTAAGACTGACTTAAAAGCCAAATATACTGATATTTTCTTGTTTTTGTCTATAAAGCTCAGCATACTTTTCTGTTATTTGCTAATGTATGAAATCGCGAATTTACCAATCTATTTACCAAATAGTTTCCCTGACGCAGAAAGACGTTGCATATTTTACTCTGGGTAAATATAAAAAAGAAACAATCAGCCCAAACAGAACCCATGATTTGGAGCAGAGCTTGTTATGTTCTACTTGCTGACAACATGCAGGGAAGATCAGGTAGAAAAGATGACTGGAAGATGTTAATGACCAGACAGAATCCTATCCAGAGTTATTTAATTTGATCATTGTCAAATTCTATGGACGGAAACAATGGATTCACTAAGGATTTCTTGAATGTTTTGAAATTAAAGTTCAAGTACCAAAAGAAAGATGGCAAGAAGGTTGTGTGTTTCGATGCTTTATGAAATGTCATAAAATGGGATGGTCATAAAATTTGTGTTTATGTAAATATTGGTATTGAGATTGATGATAACTCAATGCAGATGTGAAGCTTAAAACTGTATAAGCCATTAGGTTTTATATAACTGAAAAAAGGTTAAATCATGTCATATCTTTATCAAAATGATTTATTAGATTGTTGACTCGCTGTTATGAATTTTAGGTTCTTACCTTAATTTTCATCAAAAATTGCATGCCAAATGCCAAATATTACACATACTTTTTGCTTGCTCCTTTCTTAAGGGGGCAGTGGAAAATTGTGAAATTTTTGGAAAAGCAGTCATTTTCGTTAAATCTCAGCGGAAGAGGACGAAATCCGCCATATTTTTTACAACATCTGATATCTAAATCCGCGCTTGAGATAGCTGCTCCAAATATTAAAGAACTCAATGGTCACCACTAATTCTGACAATACAGGGACTGTCTAAAGTAAAACCAATATCTTTAACTGATGGAACGGGATTGACTTTTATACCAAGTTATAGAAGATGAGTAAATTATTGGGTAAAAAGGTCAACAACAATGGATGCATATCTAATGAACAACTTTTTTTAGTTTTTGAGATGGCTATACGGCGTCCAGCTTTTATTTCTTTGAAAAATAAGGAGAGGAACTGTTTCGAATCATCAGAAAATATTCCAAAGAGCTCAGTGGGGTTTAAGTGAGTGTAATGACCCACTGTAAAAACAAATATAAAATTAACAGGTGTTTATTCTCATTTCATATATATTTATTAAACAAAAATAATTTCTCAACACAAAAACTGTTACAAACACTATAGTATAGTTAACTATATTATATAGTATACAAAATTTACATGGCTATGGCTATACCAACATATTGAATACTAGCAACATGATTTATACTGTTTATATCTATTTTTGAATATGACTGCCAGAAATCTATCACACAGCTAAGTATATTTCTTTGAAGTAATTTCAATGATAATGTGTTACATTTCATAACCAAAAGCCATCCTTTGTGGTTAGAAATAGATCCATTCTACCAGTATATCACAATCAAAGTTTACTACTGGGGGAAAGTTTACTGGGGTAAATGTCTCATTAGTTATGTAGTTCAATAGTTCAAAATGGCCTGAAAGATCCAGAACTTTTTATACCAGAGCTTGTTTACTCCTAATTATTTGCTTTTTCTTACGATTTTACTGGCAGTTGTATGAAAATTCCCTTTTCGAAAACCCTTTGCACTTTTCCATAATGACTAATTTTACATAAACAATACAATACTTAATTAAACATACAACACAAAGTAGCTAACCAAACAAAGTTAGGCTAAAAAGTTCATACTCAATTCTCAATGGTGATTTGTGAAAGAGCACAATTTTGACCAAAATTTCCAGGAGCTTGCTCTTGCTTACTTTTTTTTATAAATGCATCAAGCAACATAAAATTCCATAGACTATAAACACTATAGTCTTTAAGAATTTCAAAACTGTATCATAGTTTGATTGATAATTTAGAGTTTAACACATACCAAATTGCTTAAGTTGGGTTAACCTTTTCTTAAGGACATCTCCAAACATATTATGACACTCCGTGCTCAAACTATTCACATTAATATGCTGTAGCGTAGCCAGCCTGACTTTTAACTCCCTCTATGCAAATATTTTTGTGTTTACTGACAGTGAGAACAAAAGATTTCTAATGAATGAATAATGGTAATCTTTCAGAATTTGCATAGCGGAAGTAAATTTGCAGGATGGCTACGCTATTATAAGTAGAAATACGTAGAATCATTGAATAAAACATCTGTAACGACGTGGGGAAATTGGAAGGACACTATTGCGCAGTTTCATTTTCCAAAAGAGGTTTGCCAAAAGAAAGTACTCAACTTGAGTCCGAGTGTTCTGCGGCCTATAAGAAAATATATAAAAGAAAAAAGTCAAACTGCTAAGATTGTTAAGGTTGGTTATTATGTACTATTATTGCTTGTGTTTATTACTTTATACCATTGTATGTATAACGCTAGTTGCAAATAATATATGAAATTCACAAATGTATAACACACAAATAATGTATATACAAATAGTAGATACAAAAATGCAGAAATGCATAAATAATATATGAAATACAGAAAATTTCCTTCTAAAGAGGTTTTTCTCAGCTATATTGTTTCATTAAAAAAAAATTAAAGATAAAATTCATTTTATGAAGAAATAAATATTTATCACATTTAAAAAAATATGATGGCGGAAGCTAGTTTCCAACCGATGTCGCATCCCACCGAATCCTCAACGCTTGCACTAAACTACACAACCCTTCTAAAGTTGTAGTGATATTGAAATTTTTTCATTATTTAAGTTTTTCATAACACTACTGTAAATTATACAGCGTAGCAAAATCCTTTTACGGAGCCGTAAGTATGGCCACTTTGTTAAAAAATGTCGAAAATGAGCTCTTGTGAACTTTAGTCGTACTTCCGAAACACAGAAGCTAGCAAGCAAAAGCCAAAAAATGTTTGCTTAAAAGATAAATCGAAAAGAAACAGCTTGAAATATAGATAAGATACAAAATAAATTAGCTTAATTACGCATAAATTATTGTATTCAACTGCGTTTACGACTACTTATAGGATTGTCAGATTCTAAATGTGAGATTGTACATCTTATAAAAGATGTGCTCTTTGAGACACCCTTATAGCTAAAATTGAAAAAATGCTGACAGAGATTGAGGACACGGAATAAAATTTTTCCTTTTGTACTTTTTGTGGAAGTCAAAAATGAATTCAAATCTTTATTCTTTTTAAAAATGGTGCAATCTCGAGAATGATTGGCTTATAGCCTATATTTGCCACCTGCGAAACATCGAAAATTATCTGTAGGGGGCGCAGTTTTCAATGTGGCTAATGACATCGTAAGAAGTATTCGGCGGGAAACTTGTTTGAGATTTTCAATCATTTTACAAATTGTTTTTACTCGAATTATTGAAAATAAGACGTAAAAAAGACACAAAAAGCCGGCTCATGTCAAAGTATGGAAGTTTTTATGACTTCCATACAAAATATTGAAAGCTTCTGCGTTTATTAATGTACAATGAAACAATTTAACTTCAGTCTGAATAGTTCTTGATATCGTTTTCAACCTCATTGGCAATTGTCGACTATTTTCACATGACATTTAAAATGGGCATGTGTGATGATAAGACCATCACAAAATGCCGCTTTTTACTTGGTGTTATTTTCAAGACGACTGATAGTTGATACATCTATTGTAGATAGATTGATACATTTTTCTTACATGGAAAGTACCGAAAAAGAATATCGGTGACGTTTAAATATATCGTGAAAATTCAATAACATAGGAAATGAAATGTCGATCTTTTTGTCAATATACAATTTCGTATGACATTCTTGATAAGAAGCTCTTTGTTGGAATATTGTGCTCATTTTAACTTCCGTTAAAATTTCTCCAAGTATTTCAAATCAATTTAGAACACGTCTTTGTAAATGATATTCGTAACTTGAAAGTCTGAATTAATGCATGTTTCTACGGTGGCCCAGAGGTGCAATACACAAACGCAAATTCAAATACACAAACACAAATTCAAATACACAAGCGCAAATTCAAAAACACAAACGCAAATTCAAATACACAAGCGCAAATTCAAATACACAAACGCAAATTCAAATACACAAACACAAATTCCAATACACAAACACAAATTCAAATACACAAACGCAAATTCAAATACACAAACACAAACTCAAATACACAAACGCAAATTCAAATACACAAACACAAATTCAAATACACAAGCGCAAATTCAAATACACAAACGCAAATTCAAATACACAAACGCAAATTCAAATACACAAACACAAATTCAAATGCACGAACACAAATTATAATATGCAAAATTCATATCCGGTTAATTTGCCGGCTAAATGTGTTCTGAATTTACAAAGTTGCCGAGATGCAGATTATTGTCATATTTTTATATTTTCGTTTCATTTCGAGAAAGTAAAATAAACTCAGAACATTCGTGAGGCATTTATTAACTTTAACGTTCGTGTATATGTTCATGTTAATTTATTATTAAAGCAGAAACAAAACAACATATATTTAATAATGTAAGTCATATGATGAGCGTTGCCTAGACCAGGCGGTATCGAGCAGAACAGAAGATAACAATAAATAGCATACAATAAGAAGTGCTTATTAGATCATGTGACTAGTACTATGATCAGATATCTTATACTTAGTTTAATACACATATAATGTATCGTCATTCCTAACAGTTCGTATTATCTTTCCCGGCTGTTGGTAATGTGAACTTGAACACCATGTTTTGTACAGTATGCGGGAATTCGCTAAATACAAGGGGTAATTTTTGTGCTAACTGTGGGACGGATCTTCGAAAGTCTGACGAATCAAAGACCTTGCGGAACAGTGAACCATCAACATCAGCTGGGCCTTCTACTGATCCTCGTGCCACCAAACCTTTGACTTTTAAAGAGTATTTGGCAGATATTTCATTTGCCACTGTTGAGAAAAGGAAGCGTCAAGATCGTTTTGTCTCCACGAAAAAGGGGAAGAAGGATGAGACTGTCAAGGTTTGTGATTACTACTACCTCTACAAATAGGTCCTGTCAATAATAATTTAAAGGGTGGGTGATGGTAGTGAATAATTATATTCAATGCTTGTTTTTATATAGATATTAGTTATGTAATTTCCACCTATTTAAGCTGAAATATAAAATGCCTGCCATAAGAAATTTGTTTTTTTTGCAGTCATTTGAATCAACACAATAATACTTTTGTTGCATGCTTTAAAAAATCAGGCTCAAGTTTTCATGGAGAAGGATGGAATGGTTTTTGCCATTAAAATGTCTAATTATTTTTTCATTCTTCATCACATATTTTGTGATGGCAGGTCATGAACACCTAGTAACTGGATATTTTTCCACCACAGATAAACATTGGAATTATTGAGCTAGATGGGAATCATTTGAAAATTGCGAGGCTCACTTCTTCCTATTGATGTAAAAATGTGATTCTCATGTTGTGGTAAAAACTGCTGGGGTGGAGAAGCAACTGGCTCACAATAAGCAACTCCGTGATGAAAGTTCCGAATGGGTTTTGTTGTACCCAGATATGGAGTTAGTTTTATTTTTACCAGGCACAACAGAAACATTTTCTGTAGAAAAGTACAAGGAGTCCCTTGGCAGGCCATACAGTCGTGTCAATTTGTATGTTTGCAAGACTTTGGATTATGAAAGTGAGGAGGTTTTCTATTGATTATTAAAAACACTTTGTTAATGTATAGGCAATTTATTAATGTTGATTAATACTTAATTATGAGCATTTAATAATCAAAGTTATTCTGTAAGGTCAAGTATATAATAATTTTTGCCCCATTTGGTTAATTTAATGAAACTATCATGATACAAATAAAATTAAACACTTACTTTATGAGGAGCTAATATTAAATATTACACATTAATACTGTGTAAAGTGATCCCAATATGAGTGCATGAGGAAATCAGCAAAAGTGTGTTATGCGACAATCTTTTATTTAAATAAATTACATATTTGATAAAAATACTGATATTTGTTTTGTAGTTGCTAATGAATTAGTTGATGATGTTGTGGAAGAGCAATTAGATTTGGAAGAAATCAGCCTAACAAAGACTCAAAATGAATCATTGTGCACAGAACCACAGCTTGGAGAAGAATCACATTCCACAACTTTGGTTGGACTGTCATCTATTGATGATGCAACTTTAACACAACATGCACTAGAGAACTTCCAAAATTGTGATGCTTTTGAGATGAATACTTTCCAAGGTTTGTGAGTACTATATAGTCTACTTGTACTTGTCAGTCTTTTTATGAAAAAGATGTTCCATTAATATTTCATGAAATGATGAGTGGGTGTTGTGATGATGGTGCAAAATACCATTGGGAATTCATTCAAAGAAAGTGGATAAATGAAATTTGAAAATAGAACAGTCAGAAATGTTGTGGCTTATCACCCATCTTTACTATATTAAGTGTTGTACATTGCAGGTGAAAGTTCTGAAGGGGCTACTTTTGTCCCAGAAAGTATGGAAAATGAAGTTATGGAGCGAGAAGTGTTGCTTATTCATCGTTGTAATGTGAAAGCTGACTTGCTGCACTATTTTGAAAAAGATGATATTTTAAAGAAGTGTGTGGATGTCAAGATGATAGATTCCAGAAAGAATTGGTTGTTGAAATTGCTCACAAGGAACTTGTGCAAAAACCGCGATACGTGGCGGATTGCTGGTTGGACGTCTTGCATTTGCTAAAACCACACATTATGTCGACAGACGGCCTGTTTCAGATGTACGAGTCGCTCCATCCTAGTACACAGAAAGTCTGCAAACTTATTAAGGCAGATCCAAAAACTCCTGTGGAAAATGAGTCTGTTGGTTATCTTAAAAGGTGGATCAAAGGTTTGGATGCAAACGGACTGGCTAAATTCTTAAGAATCTCAACTGGATCTGATGTTATTTTATGTGAAGCAATTGAAATCGCATTCTCTTCCCTTACTGGTACCTCTCGGAGACCTATATTTCATACTTGTGGTGCTGTTATAGAGTTGCCAATCACTTACGATAATTTCTGCGATTTTCGAGAAGAATGGTGCAGTATTATGTCTCAACCAGACATTGAAATGGGCTTGGTATAACTGCTATTGTGGCTTACTTTTTAGTCGTATGACAGTTGTCGTTTACTTGTAAAATTCGTTAACATGCACGTTTTCAAACTTTTGGCTAAGATAATCTACGTTATGTTTATGTTATGTTCGGGAAAGATAAACATTATCTCTGCTGTAATTGTCGTTCACTGGTTCGAACTTCCCTCGCTTGGGACCGTTGAGACCCCTCGTTTATTTCATCGTTGCATCTTAATATTAGGGAGATCTCAATACTGCTTGACCTCAACAATATCTATTAACAATAAGCAATATAAAATTCCATCATTGATAGTTCTCAACAAATCGTAGCACTTGTTTGTGACTCAAATAATTTTTCCAAAGCCTAGCCTTAATTGTGGGAGTTCCAATCCGCTGCGACATTCGCATACAAAATCAATCTTGTTAATTTTTTTTACTCTTGCTTGGAAAAGGTAAGCCTTTAATAACCGAGCGCGAGGTCTTTACGGAGAAATATCAGACCGAAGTTTTTTTGTATAGACCGAGCCCTTAGGGCGAGGTTTGTACAAAAGACAGAGGTCCAATATTTTCAGTAACGACTGAGAAAGCGAGGTTGTTTAAAGGTTTATTATATGGCATTATTTGACATGAAACAAAGCTTGCTTTCTCGTCCTTGCTGTTTTTTACCGGTTGGCTTTCACTTTTCTAGTTTTCGTTTATAAAAAATAAATCGTTTCAAACTGTATCGTCTGGATAGTTAAACTGTTTTCCAAGTGTTTTTCCTTTGAGTCACATTCGTAAATGGTTTTTTGTTCCGATTATTTTGCGTTTTGCTGTTTACTTTACGAAGTTTGTTTACATTTGATTGTAAAATTACGCGTTTTGGACAATGGTCGATTACGGGAAAATAATGGACGGGTAAAATGTTTCTGAGCCAATCAAAGCGCGCCATTTTTCCGGAAGTGACGCTTGCCATATAATAATTTGAACATACTGTGTATTGTATTCAACCAGAGAAAAAAGTTTCTGCTTGGAATTATTGTAGTTGATGTTTCAATACAAAAAGTTTAATTGCTACTCAGCTTCTGCCACCAATCTCCGAAATACTGTCAGGCTTTCTCTCCAGTTCTGTGGATCCCCCAATTCCAGTATAGCCAAGTTGTAAGCAAAATATTCTTGATATGTGCGTGATTCGTCGTCATTTGGTAGATTAATATGGTGCTCAATTTCTAAAATGTCTCGATGAAGATAGATCTTTTTGCAATCCGATGCATGGACAGACTCAGGCAAAAAGAAAAGCTGGTTGGGTATGCCGTGGGCTGTGTGGTACCGCGACCTACGAACGTAATGACTGTTCCACGATTCTTTAATGTCATTAAGACTTTGTTTCATTACATTAATAAATGAAAACCAAAGACATTCGACATGCAATTTTTTACTTGTGTCCAAAATCCCATTAGCCACAAGGTCTTTGAAAAAGTTTATCCACCACGATGCCCATGATCGACGCAGCAAAGCCCACCACGCTTCAATTCTTTGATTGCTATGGGAAGAGCCATATTGATGAGCCTTTAATCCAGAGATTACATCGTGGTGAGTGCGTCGTAAAAAACTCTGAGCTGTAGCCATTACGCAATTTTCCGTCCCTCTGTCAGTTCTTATGATTGTTGGGCAGCTTTGTTGTTCTTTTACACAGTTTAGAAACAAGTTTGCAATAACATTAGGATTATTATTGCTTTTTGTGATCTCAAGCCACATGATGCGTCGACTAAAACCGTCAATGCATCCGTGAATTGGGAATCCAAAAGGTTTCAATTTATCATATCCGTCAGCGTGCCAACAATGATTTGGCCCTGGATTCAGGTATACTCTCCTTTGAAGTCGATGTGCTCTGCGTAATCTTGACCCTTCAGGGTCGAGTTCCTGAAGGATTGATTCTACAAATTTACGAGGAACACGCATTTCGTACTTTCGTTGTAGCAATCGCCACATTGCTCGATACCCAAGCAGTTGACCACAACCATCTAGTTCGCGCTGAATGCATTCCCTTACCTGATCTCGAGAGGCATTATAATTCCTTTTACCCAATCCAAACTCGTTCAATTTACTTTTAAGTGTTCTCATACACATTTTTATGCCATGAAACTTCTCCAAAAACTCTAAAATAGTTCTATATTTGTAGTTTTTCTCATAGTAATATCTTATGGCTTCCTCCATATTTGCGACACGGCAGATGTTATTGATGCACTAAGCATGTTTTGAAAATGGCGAGTTGCATTTGAGTATTCAATTTGTTTGTGTATTTGAATTTGTGTTTGTGCATTTGAATTTGCGTTTGTGTATTTGAATTTGTATTTGTGTATTTGAATTTGCGTTTGTGTATTTGAATTTGTGTTTGTGTATTTGAATTTGCGTTTGTGTATTTGAATTTGTGTTTGTGTATTTGAATTTGCGTTTGTGTATTTATATTTGTGTTTGTGTATTTGAATTTGCGTTTGTGTATTTGAATTTGTGTTTGTGTATTTGAATTTGCGTTTGTGTATTTGAATTTGTGTTTGTGTATTTGAATTTGCGTTTGTGTATTTGAATTTGCGTTTGTGTATTTGAATTTGCGCTTGTGTATTTGAATTTGCGCTTGTGTATTTGAATTTGCGTTTGTGTATTTGAATTTGCGTTTGTGTATTGCACCTCTGGGCCACCGTATGTTTCATGATATTTAACATAATAAAAAATTCAAACAAATAAGAATCTTTTAGAAATTGATGAATTTGGAGCTAGCAAAAATTTATTTGTACAATAAGGAAAATTATAAAAATGGATAACATATTAGGAGAAGTGTTATAATTTTATTTACTCAATATTCAGAGGAAGTTGAGAGGGCAGAATCAATGGATGTTCTCAAGCAAAAAACACAGTACATCATTCAACTAATTAACTCTCTTCGAGCACAAATCGCCATCATCGAGGGTTGTTTCAGCGTATTGCCACAGGAAATGACGACAATTAAAGAGAATGTATCAAAGCAAATGAACACGGCAACAGATCTACTGAGGGAAATTGAGTGGGCAGATGTAGTTGGAAGAGCTGAATATGAGGCTTTGTGCGCTCGTGTTTGGTCATTAGAAGCTAAGAATGAATTCTTAGAAGAAAAGGTAAGGTCATTGAAAAATGAAAATACGAGGGCAAATGCTGAAATAGAAGAAGAGAGGGAAAGTTGGAAAAATTGGAGGCGGGAAATTGAAAATTGGAAGCGGGAAGTTGAAAACAAGATAAATGCGACGAATTAGGTAATAGTTTCGAAATACAACTCAGATCTAATGTTCTTTTTTTTTACGTAATATAATGCTTGTCTTAAGGAAATAACATGTGACAATATTTTTTAATCAAACTGAAAATAGGTGAATATGCTGAAAATAGCAACAACAATTTCATGGAGCAACTGCACAAGAAAAATTAGCACTTACCTTGAAGCATGGGAGCATATATTTCACAAAAAATATACTATTGCAAAGACTTTTAACTAATAATAATGTAATTTACCTTCCTATATGCCAATTGGCAAGTCTACTGTTAATTATAAGCACTTAATTTTAACATTGATATAGCTACCATATTCATTAGATAAACAGTACTCAGTAAAACAAATTGAAGATGTAATAACATGTACTAAGATTTGTATCAATAAACTAAACTTTTTCCTATTTCACTCATCGAAAACCTCTTTTTGCAATGTTCTCTCGTGCTCGGTCTAATTAGTGCATCAAAACTTAGTAATGCGAGAACTTTATGTGTAAGACAGTAATTTTTCATATTAGTGGCTATCTTACAAATAAAATTTTCTTCAAAAGCTTACCTAAAGGAGTTAATCTTCCCAAACACTTTTTAATAGATTGTATAGCTTGTGTTTTAGCATTTTGATGTACATGTAATAGATAACTTCTGAATTATTAGATTGTTTAGGTATATTACCATATTTATTGACTTGGACACAGATTAGAGGACAAACAGTATTCACACTCTATTGAAAATTTTTGATTAAGGGTTGTTTACATGATCCCGGTTAACCGAGATTCAGTGAGACGTAAAAGGATTTCGAGGGATTGACAGGAGGCAAAACTTCAAGCGTAAAAATTACAGCTGTTTGTTCAGCACCACAAGTAATTCCTTATTCTTAAATCAGAATATTGTGAAATTATTCCTATTGAATCGTTTCCATTCGCCAAAATCATTTAAAGCTTGGCTGAATCCCGGCTACGATGTCTCATGTAATCAGCCAAAGATTTTCACTAACGACATAAGAATAAGGGCAAACAAAGAGTAAAAATAGAAAATTCACGAGAAGCAATAAAGCAAATGACGCAAGCATCAGCATAAGCATAAGCACGGCAACTTGACATAAGAATAAGTTAGAACAAAATTAAATTAAAAAGAAAATCCTTTTTCTTTTACTTCCTCCAATCGCTGGAGAAGATGCTTCGCTTTGTTTTATCGCTTGTGCTTAGGTCGCAAGAACTAGACTTTAACACATATCTTATTACGCACATGATTAGCGTATTGGTGCTAATCAAATGTATTTTCTGACCAATAGAAACACTAAGTTGTCTATCCAAATCAAATATACATTGAAGTGAACCTATTGTTTATTCCTTAAACTGTGGAATCGAGAATCAGTTTGTTTGTTTTTTATTTTATAACTTCTATTCTTCAAAATTCCACGATTTTTTATTTGGTTTCTTGGTCAAATCTCATACCATATTGGGTGTAAAATTTAGAAACTTATCACAGCTATCAAATCACTCTTATTAATGAAAGTATTTGATCGTGGTGTAATGTCTACGAACAAGATGGCATCTAAATACCAATCCCAAATAACAGTGTACCCACATATAAATATATATGTCAAACAATCTGCAGAAAGCTGACAACTAACAAAAAAATTTTTCTAAACGTCAGTAAACTCCAACACTAACAGTCCCTCTCAGACGATCTATACATTGTCAAACATGTAACGACACTCCCATAACACTTTCTGTATTATATATTATGATTTTTAAATTTTTTTTATGAAAATTATTTTAGCGCAACTTCAAAAATAGGTAGCAGAACTAAGCCTAGTTTAGAAAACCCAGTTTCACTGCTTAGTTTCTTTGTAAATTTTAGATGTGTATTGATTGATATTGATGAAGCTCAATTAGCTTATGCACGTAATTCTATTCTGCTCATATTTCAATATTTCGTACTGATCTTCTGCAAACACCTAAAAATGAAAGGCGAGCATTTTATCTGAACAAAAAATATTGATAATGGAACTGTCGACATTTAAAATAGAAGAAACAAACTTTAATAGATTAACTCAGCGAAAAAAGTTTGGTCACGCTAGATCATGCTAATCAAAATAAAATCAGCAAAGAACAACTTAGTGACTAGAAGTTGAACTGCGCACAAGCCTTGACGAGAAGTAATATTTTACATTAACCAAATTAACAAAAAATCCTTAATTGTCAGAATTCCAAATTAAGTCCAAGAAAAAGTGCTATGGAGTAAAAAAGAAAACCTTAAATTTCTAAGCTAAATCACAGAAACTATTATAACATTTTTGAAACGTACGCGTTGAGCATCTATGTCAGGGGTTGGCAACTTCTCCAGTCGACGGGCCAGATTACGGAAAATGAAGTTATTGGTGGGCTAGATTATTATAAGAATAATATTCAATATCTTAATCACAGATATAGACGGATACAGTCGGCGGGCCAGTCAAAATCCCTTCAGGGGCCGGCCCCGGCCGGCGGGCCGTATGTTGCCCACCCCTGATCTATGTTTTACACATTTTTTAGAAAGCTTCTTGCACTTGCGCAGTTGGTAGATAAACGTTTCGCTTTAGTAAATGTTATTGTTTTTATAGCAATTCTTGATATTCTGCAAATGTATGGTAGCAAAGAAAAGCAAAAAGCAGTGAGAACTGATGCAGGTGAAAGTGCAAATCCTGTACAACAGCGTGCATTCCTTATGGATCCTAGCGAAGTTAAGCAAATGGAGAAGGATTTATTAGATCTTATGAGAGATTTCAATGATGGAAAATTGCACGCATTTGGTATGGTTGTTATTATCGAAATATGCGAAAATTCCTGAGAAATGATTGATGGTCTTCTGAAATGTTTTTGGAGTTTACATAGTTATATCAACTAAAGATCAAATATCAGATCACTCCAGATGAAGACACTAGACTGCAATATATAACGACTCATGTTTCAACATCAGATCACTCCTGATGAAGACACTAGACTGCAATATATAACGACTCAAGTTTCAACATCAGATCACTCCTGATGAAGATACTAGACTAGAGTATATAAGAACTTAAGTTTCAACATCAGGTTACTCCTGATGAAGACACGAGACTAGAGTATATAAGAACTGAGGGTTCAACATCAGATCACTCATGATGAAGAAACTAGACTGGAGTATATAAGAACTCAAGTTTAAACATCAGGTCACTCCTGATAAGGACACTAGACTGAAGTATGTTAGAACTCAAGTTTCAACATCAAATCACTCCTGATGAAAACACTAGACTAGAGTATATAAGAACTCAAGGTTCAATATCAGATCACTGCTGATGAAGACACTAGACTGAAGTATGTAAGAAATTAAGTTTAAACATCTGGTCACTCGAGATGAAGACACTACACCGGAGAATATAAAAACTCTAGTTTAAACATCAGGTCACTCCAGATGAAGGCACTAGACTGAAGTATGTATATCTCAAGTTTCAACACCAGATTACTCCATCACCATTTAAGATATTAACTTCAAGCTTTTCATGTGTTCATTTTGTACACATATCTATCATTCGCGTAAAAATAAGCAAAAATCGAAAGATTAGGGCTACAACCGTCTGATGATTTGAACTAAAGTAAATGGTATGAACCCGGGAGTATCGTTACATGTTTGTAGATGTAGATCGTCCAGGTTGGTAGAGTCATGAGAAGGACTGTTTTTGTTGTTGTTGACTGACGTTTCGACAACCTTAGTGGGTAGTCATCTTCAGAGTCAAATGAGGTGGCTCTTGACTTTCGCTAAGGTCATCAAACCGTCAGTCAACATCAACATCAACAGTCTTTCTCAGAACTCTATCAACCTGGACGATCTACATCTACAAACATGTATACATGAAGTAGTTGCTTACGTGAATAACAGAATGGACAGAGTAGGCAGTTTACTAGTCTTGTAAAGAATTATCTAGAGATCATTTATCACAACGAGCCTCGAGAATGTTTTTCTCCTATCGATATTCACCTGAGAGGTATGGTTTGATGGTTGACATGATTTATAACGGTTATACTGAAGAGAAATGTGGAACATAATTTCCATAACTTTGTGCTCTATATTGTCAGTCTGTGTACATTAAGAGGCATGGTTTTTTAAATGTAGATGCCAGTTCACAAGTTATGTCGTGCTATGTAAATATGACTGCGTTCATTCACTTCACGAAAAATAGATTTCTAAAAAAAAATGACAATCTTCTGTAATTCACATTCGCTGCCCTAACTGCTTCAATATTCGACGAGTCTATTTAAACAGCAAACGTACCTAGTAAATGGAAACAAGCTGACATAGTTCCGATCCCTAAAACTCCAAAACTAAATAAGACCTCCATTCAATCTTTTCATATTGAACTCTATCTAAAATTTGTGAACGTTTTGTAACTGAATGTGTTTTTGACTCGATATGGGATGTCATTGATCTAAAACAATTGGGTCAAATCCTAATTCTTCTCCTTAACAGTTTCGTTCACCACCTGCTTTGTGAAACCGACAGAGCCTGTAACTCAGTGCGAGTTTTGTTGCTAGATTTTGCTTGAGCTTTCAATCTTATTGACCACAACATTTTACTGAAGAAGTTGGAAAACATGAAAGTCTCTGATAAAATAAAGAACTGGATAAGAAACCTCCTAACTGGAAGAAAACAATGCGTGAAACTAAACGATTGCCTCTCTGAATGGTGAACAATCAACGGTGGTATACCCCAAGGAACAGTTTTGAGTCGGGTACTTTTCCTAGTAATGATCTACGATTTTTTAGAATATTAGCCAAATCAATGGAAATTTGTCGATGACTGTACTGCTTCTGAAAGCATACCACATAATTACAGCAGCAATTTACAAAACGTCTTTAATGAAATCAATGCCTGGACATCCCAAAACAAAATGAAACTCGACGTATCTAAATTCAAAGAACTAGCATTTCCATGAAACAGGTGGAATAGAGGGAAAAGACGGAGAAGGGGAAACAGGTGGAACAGGGAGAACTGATGGAACAAGTGAGACAGATGGAACATGTAGAAGAGGTGGAAATGATGGAATGTGTGAAGTCGGTGGAACAGATGGAACAGATAAAACAAGTGGAATAGGTAGAACTGCAAGTATCAATGATTTTACCAAAATGTTGCAGCTGTACAAGAGAAATGAACACCTACTTTACGTATTAGGAGGTTTCATATCTTAACAGAAATAATATTGCAGCAATTTATAGGTAATGGTAATGTAACTTGCCGTCCTAAGCTAGCTAGTTGATACTCTTAGCAAATTCCACATTCTCGTCTAGATGTTCCCCTTGTTCGTTGAGAAGTCGTTTAGATTCATTGATCATTAAAATCGTGAAATCTAGTACATAATACTTTGTTGTTTTAATAAAAAACACTTCCAAG